CTTGGTGCCTGCTCTTCTCCACCCATTGTATCACATGCATATCAGTTTCATAAAAACGGGGAAGTTGGCATGGTACAAAGCAAGTGTCCGCCTTTGGGATCTCAAAGAAGTTCTATAAGCTTTCCTAAGAATCAGAAACAATGGGTGTCTATGGAGATTCTCCATCATCCAGGCCATGGTCATCCCATGGGTGCTTTTCCAAAAGGAAACAACCAGATGACTGCAAAGAATATAATGTTGAGACTCTAGAAAAGAGTGCAGAGAAGAGCAACAAAGAGGATTAGGGGACTGGAGGCTAAAACATATGAAGAACAGTTGCTGGAATTGAGTATGTCTAGTTTAATGAAAAGAAGGACTAGGGGTGACATGATAGCAGTGTTCCAATATCTCAGGGGTTGTCACAGAGAAGAGGGAGTCAAGCTATTCTCCAAAGTACCTGATAGAAGAATAAGAAACAATGGATGGAAACTATTCAAGGAGAGAAGCAACCTAGAACTAAGGAGAAGTTTCCTGACAGTTAGAACAATTAATCAGTGGAACAACTTGCCTCCAGAAGTTGTGAATGCTCCAACACTGGAAGTTTTAAAGAATATGTTGGGTAACCAGTTGCCTGAAATGGTATAGGGTTTCCTGCCTAAGCAGGGGGTTGGAATAGAAGACCTTCAGGGTCCCTTCCAACTCCTATTCTATCTATCTTTCTACTCCCCACCATTCATCAGAACTGAAGAAGCTTCTTGGATGAGAAGCGAAACATTTTCAAGAAAAAAACAAGTCCAATTGCCTTTTGGAAAAGCAACTCTGGGAGAAACGATGGATGGCTATAGCTTGGAGCTCATTTTCAAATCTGCCCTAGAGAACAGGGATGAACTGAGCCAATAGGGAGAGTTCAGGGTGGGGGGCTAGAATGAGGGGAAAGTAGCATCTTGGTAATCCTGAGTCTCCGGAGAAGGGTGGCATATAAATCAAACTAATAAATAAATAAATCTATGCTTTGCCATTTGTTTGCTGCCTGGACATTTTGTGACGGGACTAGGTTCCCCAGCAGCCCTTGTGCAAACACACACATCACATTTCTTCAACATTCAGAAGTTGGAATGTAGTCATGCTGCAAAATTTCAGAGAGCTGATGTTCACCTCCATTTCATGAAAAAAAAAAGACTATAAATTAGTAGGTGGCTCCATATGCTCTGTTTACAAATTTTTTTAAGTTAAAGCTTAAAGGAAGTGCACACCGATAGACTGATATATTAGTCTCTCTTGTTGTTATGAAAGACAGCAACACACCTGAAGGGTGCTATGATGAGACAATTTAATTTAAGGAACGATATGTAAAATCTGCACTGTTGGATGCAGTAGCCCAATCTATATGGAATTTTCTAAGCTGCCCACATCAACTAATTTTATAACAAACAGAGAGCACAGATGGGGGTTAGATGCTTAGCATCAATTTCTTAAAAATCAGTTGCATGTGTTATGTAAACACTGCCTATCAGTTGATTGTGTGTGCCAACCAGTCTTCTATGACTCTTCATTTTTGTCTCCGGTCCAATCATCTCTGTGTCTGTGCGTGAGTGTTTGTGTTTGTGTGGCCAGAAACAAATGTTTGACCAGATTCCCATCTTTTTAGACTAGTTAAAATTACTGTGTGTTCTTCCACATGGAAGATTATTTACAATTTGTACAATGCAGTTGCTAAGTTACAAGCACAGTACAGTTGTTCAGACAATTAAAATTGCTTTTAGAAAGATGAAATGGTAGCCTTATGGTTAAGAAGTTTATACGTATGAAAGTGAAAATAGGATTAATAATAACTAATGCATAAAGTTAAACATTGTAAAGGTTTGTACATAATTTAGAAGAAGCACAAGATATGAATGGAATTACAGAAGAGACTGACTGGGGAGAATGATCCAGTAACATTTAAGCATTTACTATAAACTAAATATGTTCCTTAAATTTGCTTATTGTTGTTCACTTCCTCTGACCCTTGCAGAATTTGGGATGCATTGTGATAAATTCTTTAAGATTCATACTAAGATTGAAAAGTACAAATGTTAAAAAGAAACCTGCATAAAAAGGAAGGGTTGGTTGGGCTAGGGAGTAAGGTTTACACTGTAAACAATAGTTTAGGTTCAAAAAAATAGATTAGCCTTTCTCTTAATTGCAGCCAAAAAAACCCTCTGGATTATTTGTTCTGTTTTGAATTAACCACAGTTACTTGTAATAGCCATATATAGACAAATGTGTAGTTAACTACAGTTTGCTCAGACAACCTAGTTTTAGGGCATAGGTTGAATTCACCATAACCTTATGAGGCCAAAGTTCAACAGCTTGGGCTCGTGTTCTGTCTCCTTTTTTCCACAGTTGGGTCCAACTTGCTACTGCTTAGTATTACCTCTGAATCCTAAAATGAAGTTAAACTTAACTGTGATTTGTTAAAACCATTCAGATTCATGTGACATTACACATCATGTTGTACAAGCTATGGCAGTGTGATTCACACAAATAACTGAGTCATGAACTGTCCTTTTCATAGTGGCCAATTCTTACATGCCACTAAACAAAATAAGTCATATTAGAGCATTGTGCGTGCGTGCCATTGTGTTCAGACATGGGACAGCTGTGGTTCAATATAATGATAATACAGTATAAGCGAATCATCTCCAACCTGGTGTTTGTCAAGCTTATCGGAGCCAAACATTTATGGGATGATTTTAATCTGTGAATTTGGTATGACTTCACTTTTTAAGGCGATAATTGCAAGACACCATATTAGAGAAAGTTGGTTTCAGATTGTTGATGTTTAAAAATACTGGCTGATAGGAAAACAAAAACTTTCTGTATACTTAACATGGTATTGTGTGAATCCACCCTACCTATGTATCCAAATAAAATCAAGAAAGATAACTTTTTGTACAGTGTGATATGCAAACATTCTGGGACTATATTTTATTTATTGCTGCACATGCAATCCAATATGGGCAAGTGTTTTGTGGTTTTGAAACAGTTTTCCAGGATTAGGGCTGCATTAAGAAACATGTATGCCCTAGGCACTTTTATATTCATAGATCCTTGTTACAGCAGTAATCCAAATACTGAGGGTTATGAAAGTATTTCCTGGACCTATATTTGTTAGTAAGTGACAGGGATTTTTATTTATCCAAGTGCCCAAAGTAATACTTGCAGTTCAAGCAACCAATATAGTACGTACATATGTATAAATGTACCATGGCAACTTGGAGTGTCCCATTTTCTAATCAGCTTAATCAACCTTTTCTAGGTTACTATAATCTGTACCTTTTCCCCTAAATTTTGGTATTCTCACTTAGCAACAGTTAGTAGGTTTTAGTTTCTCAGTCACATTCTTCGAGGCATGTTTTGGGGTATGTTTTGGGGGTTCTCCCCCTTGTTTTTTCTCCCCCTCCCCCAAGTTAAACCAGACTAAACAACTAAACAACTATGGGATGTGGTGGCTCAGTGGCTAAGACGCTGAGCTTGTTGCTCAAAAGGTCGGCAGTTCAGCGGTTCGAATCCCTAGTGCCGCGTAACAAGGTGAGCTCCCGTTACTTGTCCCAGCTTCTGCCAACCTAGCAGTTCGAAAGCACATAAAAAATGCAAGTAGAAAAATAGGGATCACCTTTGGTGGGAAGGTAACAGTGTTCCGTGCACCTCTGGCGTTTAGTCATGTCGGCCACATGACCACAGAGGCATCTTCGGACAGCGCTGGCTCTTTGGCTTAGAAACGGAGATGAGCACTGCCCCTTAGAGTCGGGAACGACTAGCACATATGTGCAAGGGGAACCTTTGCCTTTACCTTTTTAAACAACTAAGCAACAATAAAAAGCCTTCCACAATTGAATAAATGCTGATTGGGGATGGGGAAAAAAGCATTTCAGCAGTTAGTTTATTTTCTGAGGCAGGAAATTTGGTATCTTCAAAGAGTTTTTTGTGATTTGGTGACCACATTTATTCAACAATTATTCTTGTGTATTGTGCTGCTGTGTGTAAACAGCCCAGGGGAGGCAAGCATTTTCTCATACCCACCTTTTTGTATATCTCCCATTCTGTCTTATCAGGCTCCTTGACCTATTCGACTTCTTGAAATTTCTTCATTAGAGGAGATTCTTTTTAGAAAGTTGGCAAACTGCAAAGTGACATCGCAAGACTTGCACATTGCCTTTATTGGCAGCAGTGCCTTGGGGCACCATAGAAATCAGAGATAATATAAGCCAAGATCTTCTTGATAATAATTCTACTACCAGCCAGAATGTTGGTCTGTAGTTGTGTGAGAGTGTGAAAGACCATTTGTTAGGTTAAGACTGATAAAAAAAAACCTTTAACTACTGCAGTGTTTCTCAACCTTGGAAGCTTGAAGATGGGTGGACTTCAACTCCCAGAATCCAGCAGCGCTGGCTGGGGGATTCTGGGAGTTGAAGTCCACCCATCTTCAAGCTACCAAGATTGAGAAACACTGAACTACTGTGTTTAAAAAAAAATAGACAGTAGGACATCCTTCACACACACACACACACACACACACACACACACACACACACACACACACACACACGTTCCATCTCCTTGAACCGATGTATCATTCCCCGAAGCGTGGTTCTCCTTACTTACTGATATATTTTGACACTTGTTTCTACTGCATGGTATTGTTCATCAGTACACCTGTGAGTTGCAGATTTGAAGCTTTGAAGGGTGTGCAGTTGTGGGTTCTGGGCTGTTACAAGCTATCATTGTTGGACACCATCTGAACATTCAGAACATCTCAATCATGTCTTGAAACCGAATTTAGAGAAAAATAAAACTTGTCTTGCAGGCAGTTTCTGTACCGTTCTTGATTTTTATCCAAAGATAACCTCTAAAGTTGTATCTTTGTTAAGCTCTCATAAAGCAATAATTACAAGGATCATCTGTTTGTATACTTACTGACAAAAGCATCAGTATAGTTCTCTCACACCCTTTCCCTTTTTCTTTACCTCTCGCCTTAGGAAACGGTTTTGTGAACTCACGAGCATCTCCAGGTCTGCTTAGCAGCACCGGTGGCGGGAACGGTTTAAGCAAAGTGATGCCTACAAAATCTCCCCCACCTCCTGGTGGGGGCAACCTTGGAATGAACAGTCGCAAACCAGATCTCCGGGTTGTCATTCCTCCGTCTAGCAAAGGCATGATGCCTCCATTGGTAAGGTGCTCCTTTGACTACTTGTGCATGGACTGTATTCTTAGAGGGATTAACAGTACAGTTCTACAGATGAAAACATTGTCTCAAATGCTGCTTTGATTCCATATTTGAGGGAACCTCCAACAGCCGATCATTAACCACTGTAGTGGCACAGTGGTGAGAATGCAGTACTGCAGGCTACTTCTGCCGGCTGCCTGCAGTTTGGCAGTTCCATTCTCACCAGGCTCAAGGTTGACTCAGCCTTCCATCCTTCCGAGGTGGGTAAAATGAGGACCCAGATTGTTAGGGGCAATATGCTGACTCTGTAAACTGCTTAGAGAGGGCTGTGAAGCACTGTAAATCTGTATATAAGTCTAAGTGCTATTGCTATTAAGAATTAGTACTTCTTTGCAGGGAGAAATGATCCATGCTAGTTGGTGTGCTTTCTCTCTCCTTTTCTTTACTCATGCATATAAAGCTTTCAAGTGCTCTTAGTAGTAAACATAAGTATGACTTGGTAGCAGGGGTGGGCTTCAAAATTTTTAGCAAGGGGTTCTCTGCCTGATTGCTGGGTAGGCGTGGCCATGGTGGGTGTGACCTAGTCAGCCTCCTGCACCATAGTGGGGTGGGGGGTGTTTTTGCCCTCCCCGGGCTCCGGAGGCTTTCCTCAAGCCTCTGGGAGGGCGAAAACGGCCTCCCCAGGCTCTGGAGGCCAAGAACGGGCCCATTTCCATCTTCCCGAACTTCTGGTAGACCCGTTTTTCGCCCTCCCCGGGCCTCCGTGCGCTCCCTACACTTACTTGCATCCAAAACGTGCCACGTGGGGACTCCTGGGAGGGGTGGTGTGGGCGGGGCCAGCCAGGAGTGGGATTTGGGGGTTCTCCAAACTGTACAGAATCTTAGCTAGAGGTTCTCCCAAACCCCTGCAAACCCCCAGCAGCCCACCCCTGTTCTTTATGTGATAACCCCATGGGTTGACCTCGATAAGTATCGTGTTTCAAAAATATTTCAGGGTCTAATTTTTTAAGAATCCCAGCACTCAAGAGGAGTGGCCTGTCCATTGTTTTGTTTGCATGAATGCTGCTAATTGCTCATTTTCTTGGCTGTCCATTTGCCTTTTATCCAAAAGGGAACTAGAATTGATTAACTTCAAAGGCAGAATCCAGCCTAGGCTGTTTTCTTTTTTCAATCTACTGAAACATAGTATGAATAATAATAATAATAATATAAAAAAGCACTAACATTTCTTAACCCGGCTCTATTAAATTATTATTAAATTATTCCCACACTTTTCCCCCCTCTTTCTTTGTATTAGTTGATTTGTTTGTCCACTTGAAGTTCATTTTAAATGCAAAAAACTACAAAGAAAATCCGTGCCAGTACAGATCAAGAGTTATCTGTAGCCCTGCTTTCTTGCTTCGCACTGCAGCCAACTCGCTGCTTCTCAGAGGCTATGAAAACAAGAGCCCTCCCCAATTCCCCATCTCCAATTCCCAGCACTTAATCTTGAAGAGCACTGTTGTCAGTTAGATATAAGCACCACAGATTTGTTCAATTTTTAAAATTCTAATGGACAAGCCGGTGGTCATCTCTTGTGGGAAGAGGTTTGCCACGATCTATTCTAATGCAGAACAATTTTATGTATATATTCAAGGTTATAGCTATTAGGTGGCCTTTCACAGGTCTGCACTGAGACAAGCTGATTTCTTTTATCAATGTAAATGCGGTTGCTTTGCATATATAACAATTTCCACTCATAGGAAAAAGTGAAGAATTATGCAAGGCATTGGAATCTTGGCATAGCATCTGAGCTGGAACCAAGAATTGACTCATAACTTCAGGCTTTACTTTCTCAAGGGGTAGACAGATGACAAGGGTGGGTGGGTGGGTGGGTGGGGGGTGTTGCAGCTTAACTTTTGACCTTGAGCCATCTGGTCTGTGAAGGGTACCATTTGTCAGCTATGCAGTTTTCATTTGCTTTTCTCATTCTCACAAAGCAGGCTCTAAATTTTCAAATTGTTGCTATTTATCCCCATTTGATTAGCGTTTGAAGTGGAACTTAGTTGATCCACTAATATTTTTTTTTTAGCGCTCCCTGCAATCTGGGATTGCCAGCTGCCAAATTGGCTTAACTGAATTAACATGAATTATGCTAACCATAATAAATTAAACGTTCTGTGTCAGAATAACGCAAGGGATAGTCCTTGACTTGCGACTGCAATAGGGAACAGAGTTTTTGTTGCTAAATGAGGCAGTTGTTAAATGAGTCACATCTGATTTTATGACCTTTTTCGCCACAGTTTTTTAAGTGAATCAATGTGGTTTTTAAGCAAATTTGGCTTCTCCCATTGACTTTGCTTGTCAGAAGCCATCTGGGAAGGTTGCAAATGGTGATTACAGGTAGTCCTCGATTTACAACAGTTCATTTAGTGACCGTTCGAAGTTAGAATGGCACTGAAAAAAGTGACTTATGACCATTTTTCACACCTATGACCGTTGCAGCATCCCCATGGTCACGTGATTTACATTCAGATGCTTGACAACGGGTTCATATTTATGACGGTCGCAGTGCGCGTGATCCCCTTTTGCGACCTTCCGACAAGCAAAGTCAATGGGGAATCCAAGATTCACTTAAACAACCGTGTTGCTAATTTAACATCTGCAGTGATTCACTTAGCAAATGTGGCAAGAAAAGTCGTAAAATGGGCAAATTAACAAATTTCTCACTTAGCAACGTAAATTCTGGGCTCAATTGTGGTCATAAGTCAAGGACTACCTGTACATGACCCAAGATGCTGAAACCATTGTAACGAGATGCCAGTTTCCAATACCCAAATTTTGATCATGTGACTGTAGGGATGATGTAATGGTTGTAAGTGCAAAAATCAGTCATCGGCCACTATTTTTGGTGCTGTCATAACTTTGGTTAGTAAAGGAATGCTTGTTAAGTTGAGGACTATAGTTTGCTTATACAGGCTCTAGGCCAGTTGTAGGTAAAATCTTTGTCAATCTGGCTAATTTAGGCTTCTTAAATTATGTTGTTATGCCTGATACTCTGTGTAAATTTAAAATACTAGCGAGGCTAAATATAGCCAGCTTTTCAAGCCCGAACGTGACTCTTTCATTCTGAAATACAATCTATTCTTAGTAATGTTATTATTCCTCTTATTTGCTGAGTACAGTCGGAGGAGGATGAATTGGAGTTGGTGAGTCTGGGTTCTTACTTGGTATGAAACATCAAAATCCGAAGAGCTTTCATGTCAACTTTGTATGTAAACCATACCAATGTTCCCTTTGTCGCGGAGGGGAAAAAATTCATTTAAGGGGAATCAATAAACCTTAAACAAGGGAAGCTTTTCCTTTTTCCTTTTAATTGAAAGGGGAACATTGGAACCAAACCTCTAACCAGCAACATTGGGGGGAAAATCCTTAAATGATTATTTGCACAGTGGCTCAGGTACGTTGGTGTTTTGAGAGAGTTATTTGGCCTACCAAGTTCTACCCATACTGAAACAGATTCTTGTGGCTGCTGCTTTCCTTCTCGGAGATTACATCACTCCTGATGAGCTCACCATGCTGGAGATAAAGTTAATTTCATGCTCTACAAGAGAAGGAAGCCACAAGGGGATTCCCTGTTTACCAAAAAGAAACTACAATTGCAAGCTGTCTGTTTCTAGTGGAAAAGGCTTCCTCTTAAGAAGACTTTTTACAAAACACGTATGATGTAGTTTCTTTTGTATAGCCTTAAAAAAAAACAACTCCTAAAACAATGCTTCTCAGCATTACGGCAAATCTGCATCTTGATAAACCTGTGTAAAGGACACAAAGAACAACAATTTTGATGCTTTTTATCAATTAATTTAAACCCAATGAGTTGCTGATATGGGGCTTTTTATGCATGACAGCATGGTGTGTGTGTGTGTGTGTGTGTGTGTGTGTGTGTTTCTTTGTCTTGTGAATGCATCCAGTTACATAGTACATTGATGTTTTTAGATAAAAGTATCATGTCTAATATATCTAGTGTGCTAATTTTCCTACGTAATTGTTTTCACATAGTTTTAGTTTTAGTTTTATTGAATTTGTATACCGCCCTACTCCCGAAGGACTCAGGGCGGTGAACAGCCATAAAATAAAACAATATAAATACAAAATTTATAATAGAATAAGATGAATTAAATAATTTGGCTGAACAAATTTAAAACCCCAATACTTTAAAACCAAATTTAAAATTTCCATTTAAAAAGGGGAAAGACTTAGGTCAGGCCAGCCTGATGAAACAAGAAAGTCTTAAGCACGCGACGGAAGATACGCAGATCTGGGATCCTCTGTATCTCCGGGATACATACATTTGAAAAGCTAAAGAGTTAAACATCCATTTCAGTCAGCCAATTATATTGGAGTGACTTAAAAGGGGAACAGTAAACCAGTGCTTTAAAAATAAACGCAGGAAAATTGAATATGAACCCCTAAAGTAGCATACAAAAACCTTAGGGAATTCTGGGCAATGAAGGATTGTACTTCCCTTCCCTTTGCCAGCTATCCCATAATGTGGGACCCATTATGGAGAAAGCTGAATTTATCACTGAAGCTAAAATATCTCTATTGAGGGGACTCATAAATGATGCACTACATGTGATGATGAAATTGTGGAGCAGACTATTTGGGCCTTGGTGGTCCTGTAAGTAGCTTGGTCATAAGCCTTATAAAGCTTTATAGATGACCATAATCAGCTTTCAGGTGACCTCGGAGATACAGGCAGTCGGTAGTTTCAACCAAGGGGTAAATGTAGGGCATGAGAAGAAGGCCCAAGTCACTGTTGCTTGTCCTGCTACTTTCTGGGCCAGCTGCGATTCCAATGCTGTTTGTGTATATATCAACTTCTTTTGAAGTTGAACTATCTTGAATTTGAAATGCCTGGCTCGATTCTGAAACAGTTGTTTCAAGGTCAAAGCAGTTGTTCCGAATGTAACCAACCGGCTGTCCTTTTGGAAGCCTTTCAAGCTTGGAAACACTCTGTTCTGAGCTTGAAACACTTCCGGGTATCAGGGCGCACCTACCTCCAGCTGACCAGTCCAAACCGCTCTTGGTTCAGATGAAGGAGAAGAAGGAGGAAGAATATTAGGGGAATGCTGATGGCTCTAAATCTTCTACTGACTGAACCCAACGGTTTCATACAGGAATTAAATAGCTCTGGAGAAAAGTATTTCAATAAGACTATCAGGGAGCTGAGCTACAGTCTTCCAGTGTCTTTTTTGGGGGGAATTAGTCTGTAGATAAGAGTAGAACCATTGCATAATCCAAAGCTATTTCAGGAGAATATTGTGATTTCACAAGAGAACAACAATTGCCATTATCTCCTAATAAAAGTTGTCCTTCAGGACAACCCAGGAAAATTCTGACCCCAAATCACCAGACACTAAAATGAGTGTAGATAATAATGAACATCTTGTAAGAACATCTGTAGTAGGATGATCTTGTTGATTACATTTTTAAAAAAAATAAATAATTGGATTTCTTCAATGAATTGAGGCCTTTTGTTTATTGCCCTCTGTCAAATTATACTTTTTCTTGAAAAGCTTAGGGACAGGAAACTTTCCCCATTTTTCATCTCTACAACCTCCTATTTGTCAGCCTTTTAAGATATTCCCATTTCACAGATAGAATCTGAAAAGATTTAAGTGTTTTCGCTAGCAAGTCACAAGATACATTTTGCTGATTTGTAGGATTGTAAGCAGGGATCTCCAACCTTGGCCACTTTAAGACTTGTGGGCTTTAACTCCCAGCTGGGGAATTCTGGGAGATGAAGTTCACAAGTCTTAAAGTGGCCAAGGTTGGAGACCCCTGTTTACACAGTACTACATGGTTTCCAATTTAAATTAGCTGCACTGTAGTTGAAGCACTATGAATTGCACCCGACAAACACAAAATGGACACCCGTAGGTTTGCAGTGATTCGTTCAAATGATGCCTGCGCATATTTACATTTCTCTTCCCATAAACAGTGTCCTAATTATTATTTGCATGCAAATTGCATGGATCCATTTGTTGTAAGTTAAAGGGCATGTCTGCTGAATTTTTTTCAATGTGTCAAAATGTATTTTGAAGCAGCTCTGTTTTCCTATACAAGGGTAAACATCAATTTGTATTTTAGCATTTACAGGAAGAGAGTGCCCTCTGGTGGCATCACAGCTTCTTAATATCAAGCCAAGAAAAAAAAAAAAAAGGACAAGACCCACTCCAGACAATTAAATCATTTAGCATTGCAACGAAACCCCCAAAACTGGTTCAATCTATGTTGTGGGCCAGAAAAAGAAAAGAGATTTTAAGTATTGCGGAGCCTTGTTTTATGAATATGGCACGCTTGGTCTACCATGGGCCAACTTTTCATGTCAATTTATCCTACTGAGTATGATGTCATCAGTATAGCAATTTGAAAGGACTAGAATTCAAAAAGGATAATATTGTGGAGAGGAAAGGATTTGAAATTCATTTATTTAGATAGTTTATCTAAATTTCACTGGCAGTTTCCCCCCCAAAAAAACTGGATGTGAGAAGATGATCCCAACAATCCTAGGAAGACAAAGTTTATAGGAATGAGCCCATTTTCTCTTCCTATCTTGAGTAAATTGCCATTCTAATCTCTAAATCACTATGGTTTAATTAATCCCTGAAACACGTTCAACTGTTATTCTGGTTGAATGTTAGAAAATATATTAGAGCCCAGTTCCTTTCATGGATGTGCTCAGAGGCAGAACAGCTGTGATGGGTGTAATCCGGATTCGTTCATCGAGGTGGAAGTTGAACCCTGTTCCAGTGTTCAGCCAAATGGTCCCTTTCAAGCCTATGACTCTTATCTAGGTAAAAAAAAAAAAATGTGCTGCTTGATTACCTCAATGGAGATTGATTTAAAATATAAAAAAATGTACTAGAAGAAAAGAACCTCAGTGTTTGTATTTGGCCAATGCATGTCTGAAATCACTTCAGTGCATCTTTGTTTTGTTTGACCACTTTCTTTTTTCTGGTCACCATTCACAGAACACCCAGAGGTTAAGTAGTTCTCAGTCCACGCAACCTCTTGCAACACCAGTTGTATCTGTGACAACTCCAAGCTTGCCCCCACAAGGACTGGTCTATTCTGCCATGCCTACAGCTTACAATACTGGTAAGTTACGCATTTGTTGGCTCTTCATCTCCCCTCTTCTGTTTTCTTAATGGCTGCCTCATTCAAAGGATTCTAAGCCTTTAGGCAATCCTGTCTTTGCAACATTCAACTGTGGCCAACAAAAGTCACGAATATTAAAAGATGATAAGATACAAAGAACTATTAGATAGCCAGAGGAAGCTTAAATCAAATGAAGAATTAAAAGAACGGTATAATTATAGATGGGTGGCCATATCTACAGACACAGTCGAGATATAGAAAAGATATGGAAGAATATGGAATTCAAGGGATACCACAACAATTGGATAGAATTTTGATAGGCAAGGAAGAAAAATTTATAACAAAAGCATATAAATATCTATTAGAGGTAGAAGTGGAAGAAAAATAGTGAAAAGTCCAATGTTAGCATGGACACAAATATAGGCCGTAGAATAAATTTAGAGGAATGGGAAAAATTATGGAACAAAAACTGTAAATTAACATTGTCGACCGCATATAAAGAAAATCAGTACAAAATGTTTTATAGGTGGCATTTAACACCGGCGAGATTGGCCAAAATGTACACAAATATGAAATCTGACTGCTGGAAGTGTAAATATAAGGATGGAACATTTTATCACATGTAGTGGCAATGCCCCAAAGCAAAGAAATATTGAGAACAGATAGAAATACATGAGATAACAGGAGAACAAATTGAATTTAAACCTGAATTATTTTTATTAGGAATAATTAATCAAAGGATAAAGAAGCAACTCCAACATATCATTTTACATATAGTAACAGCAGCACGAATTGTTTATGCTCAATGTTGGAAACTTGAAAATATACCAGCCAATGAGAGGATTATTCATAAGATATTAGAATGTGCCAAGATGTATGAGATCACGTTAGAAATAAAAGGCAAGGTAGAAACAGAATTTTATGAGGTTTGGGATAAGTGGTATAAGTGGTTAGAACAGAGAAACAAAAATGTATAGAAATAAATGTAGATAACTGTAAGAGACACATGACACAGTACTGTAAAAACTGCTTATTGTTATGTAAATTGTAAAAATGGAAAATATTTTTTTTTTAAAAAAAGTCATGAATATTGAATTATCCCTCAAAATTATGTGCTGCTCTTCATAGAAATCTAAATCTTTTAAACTAAATGATCCAGTTTAACACACAACAAATAGTACAATACATTTAAAAAAATCACAACAGCCTAAAACTAAATCATGTATAGCAGAGTAGTATATGAGAGGAGTTTGGTAAATACTGCAGAGGGAAATTATGACGGAAAAGCCAGTTTGTTGTGGTGGTTCTCTGAAACAGGGAAATGAAGCAACAGTCAGTGTTATGATTCCCCCTGTATGTGAAACCGTGCCTGGTTTATATGCTCAGAAATCTCTATGTGCCCATGGAAAAAACTGTCTAGCCAGTATCAACTAATAGATAGAAAAAAACAACATTGCAGCATAAATCACTGCTCTTTCACAGGAACCCATTTTTATCCCTATTCTTTCCCCAAGAGGCAAAGGGATATATTAAGAGAACAGTATTAGAAAGTGATTAAGTGCTGAAAAGCATTTGCAGCTCCCTCTCCTTCCGTATGTGAGAGAAAAAGCAGTGACGATCATGAAGTGAAATAACTTCCTGCATGTTAATCAGAAGTGACAGCTATTTAAGCCCTGATTTTAAAAACCTAATATTTAAGTTCCTGAATCAAACCCTGGAGACATCTGTTCCATAAGGCTGCAGGGGGCCCCCACCCTGCAAAAGTGAGGGTGGGGGAATCATTTCTCCATTACTTCTGGAACAATAATTAGACAACAGCTTTAAGTACTCTTCAGTTTACTTACCATTAATCTTCAGATGGGCTTCCTGAACTGTATGCATCTTAATTGGTATTCTTTACAGTTGGTTTTCAGTCTCTTCCCTTCTCACTTCCTCCATATCCTCCCTCCCTCCCTCCTTCCAAAAGCAGCAGCAGACTAATTTTATTTCTGAAGTTTGTAAGCTATTTGGAGAGTTTTTTGAAGGTTTAATTGCAGAGTAAATGATACTTTAAATAATGTTGTTAATAAGATTTGAATCCTTGGCTGTTTTGCAATTCACAAAATTGTTTGTAGATATAAACATGGGGCTCCCCTTGAAGAGCACTCGGAGGCTCCAACTGGTCCAGAATGCGGCTGCGCGGGTGGTTATGGGCGCACCTCGTTACGCCCATGTAACACCTCTCCTGCGCGAGCTGCACTGGCTCCCAGTGGTCTTCCGAGTGCAATTCAAGGTGTTGGTTACCACCTTTAAAGCGCTCCATGGCATAGGACCAGGATATCTACGGGACCGCCTTCTGCCACCAACAGCCTCCCACCGACCAGTTCGCTCCCACAGAGAGGGACTCCTCAGGGTGCCATCGGCCAACTTATGCCGGCTGGCGACACCCAGGAGGAGAGCCTTCTCTGTCGGAGCTCCTGCCCTTTGGAATGAATTGCCCCCGGATATTCGTAACATCTCTGATCTCCGGGTTTTTCGCTGTGCCCTCAAGACCCTACTGTTCGGATAGGTGGGGCTGTCTAATTGAATGATTTTAAATTGGGTTTTAACTTTTGGTTTTAAAATTCGGTCAAAACTATTTAATGATTTTAATTAATTTTAACTATGATATTGTATATTTATGTTTTTAATTTTGGCTGTACACCGCCCCGAGTCCTTCTGGAGGAGGGAGGTATATAAATAAAATTATTATTATTATTATTATTATTATTATTATTATTATTATTATTATTAAACAGAAATTGGATAGCGTGATCCCTCTGGGTTTGCTCTTAAAGGAATTAACAGGACCCTGTTACTATTTGGAATAATCTTGGTTTTTCTCGTGGGAGTCCACCTGAATTTCTTGTGTAAGAGTTGTGTCAAGGACTCTGCATCTGCTCTCTGCTCATAAATGAAAGATGGTCTTAACAGGCTTCCTGTGTTTCAGCATCTCAAGTAACCCGCCCGTACACTTTCCCTGAGCAATTTTTTTTAAAATGAACTTGAGAGTTAATCCTTAGAGATTGGGGACAAATTAGTTTGGCTTGCGTCTTTGTACCAATTTACCTAATCTGCAAAAGCAGTAAATAGGACCTCACAATTGTTTTAGCTGTTAGCAATCAGTCTGTGAGGTGTAGAAAAAAAACAAAAACACACCACGGCAGCAGTTTGCCACAAATTCTTAATACAAAATCCCTTGTATTTTTCTCTCCTGTTTCAGATTACTCCTTGACTAGCGCAGACCTGTCAGCCCTGCAGGGGTTTAACTCCCCAGGAATGCTGTCATTAGGACAAGTTTCTGCCTGGCAACAGCATCATCTAGGACAGGCAGCTCTCAGCTCTCTTGTGTAAGTAAGAGACCATTCTTGCAGCTTCCTTGGATTCGCTGTCTTAGTCCCAGTGGGAAGCCCACAACCTCTGATCGTGTTTGAGTTGATTCAATTCAGTGCAGTGTTCTTTACTTTCTAGCTTTTGGTTAGTTGGATGTGCATGGTTGTTTTCTTGAGAAGAATGCCGATTTATGATTTGCAAAACTCCTGCATTTTTGCAGGTTTAAGGAAAAGTCATGTCCCCACACTACAAAAAAAATGTTGAGACTGTAGAAAGAGTGCAGAAAAGAGCAACAAAGTTGATTAGGGAATTGGAGGCTAAAACATATGAAGAAGAACGGTTGCAGGAACTGGGCATGGCTAGTCTAGTGAAGAGAAGGACCAGGGGAGACATGATAGCAGTCTTCCAATATTTGAGGGGCTGTCACAGGGAGGAGGGGGACAATCTATTTTCCAAAGCACCTGAAGGCCAAACAAGGAATAATGGATCGAAACTGATCAAGGAGAGATTCAACCTGGAAATAAGGAGAAATTTTCTGACAGTGAGAACAATCAACCCATGAAACAGAAGTTGCCTTCGGAAGTTGTGGGAGCTTCATCACTGGAAGCTTTCAAAAAGAGACTGGACTGCTATCTGTCAGAAATGGTGTAGGGTCTCCTGCTTGAGCAGGGGGTTGGACTAGATAACCTACAAAGTCCCTTCCAACTCTGTTATTCTCTTCTAAAATTCCCAAAGGAAATCTTGTATTCCTTTCTTACCCTGTCACTCTCCAGTATTTGTCTCTTCATTTCAAAAAACAGCCAAGAGAAATGGAGCAGCCTATAATAATATTTTTTTGTAAATTGTGAGGCCATAAAAAACAAGACTCTGTTTAGTTTCTTTACAATTTCCTGTAACTGGATTAAAATCAAAATTCTTATCACAGTCCTTTTGACTCAAAAGGCTAAAGAGCAGTTTTGAAAATTACAGTTAGTCCTCAGTTTACAACCATCCATTTACTGACTGTTCAAAGTAATTAAAACACAAGTACATAATTTTCCAATGACTATTCCCATTCTAACTTATTTGAAATATTCTTAAGAAATACACGAGATATAATATGAGGCAGTAAAGGCTGATTACTGATAGAACTCCACTCATTTTTGAATGAACAAATGACTAGCTTCCCACACTGCCCTAAATCATAATCTGATTTATTTCCTTTGGTGTAGTATATTCAGCCAACTCCGCTGATGGATGTTAATTGATTAATACGACAGGCAAACCAATTGTTTTTTTTTTTTAAGACTAGGTCTCCGTGCTTGAAATGTTTGGAAAATCCCACAAATAACACAACTGGGCTTGTTGTCTCCATGTTGTCACATTTGCCCTTTGTCTTCACGAGTAATGCATTTCATTCACAAACACGCACACACACACACACACACACACACATACCACACACCCTCCCATTTTCCATTTGCTTGACTAAACAAGGTTGTTGTTGGGAAAATAAGAGAATGGAGGTGTGTAGGATATGTTTGTCACCTGGTGTTATTTGTAAAAAACAATAAAAAATAACAAAGGCGGGTTATAAATTAAACAAACAAACATCCCATTCTAATTTCTTGGATGCAAAGTTTGGTTTCTTAAATGTTGGCTCCAGCAACCACAGCAAACCATGATTTTTCTTCCGTTTCTCTCCCTCTCTCTCTCTCTCCCTCTCTCCCTCCCCCCTTCTCCCCTCCCCGACTTTAATTAGAACGGGAAGCCAGTTATCCCAGGGTTCCAGTTTATCCATCAACACCAATCAGAATCTTAACATTAAGTCCGAACCGATTTCACCTCCTCGAGAAAGGGTGACCCCTTCCACGTTCCAGTCGCAGCCGCAGGCATCTCAACAGCCGCCTCCACAGCAACCGCCACCACCTCTTCAACAGTCGCGGCAAGAAATGGGCCGCTCCCCGGTGGATAGCCTCAGCAGCTCTAGCAGTTCCTACGACGGCAGCGACCGGGAGGATCCCCGGGGCGACTTCCATTCGCCGGTGGGGCTGGGGAGGCCTCCCAATTCAGAAGATCGCGAGAGCCCGACGGTCAAGCGGATGAGAATGGACACCTGGGTGACCTAAGCCTGCCGTTCTCCACGCGTCGGCTTTCCACTTTCAAATTACACCCCCCCCCCTCCAATGAACAGTCCTGACATATCTAAATTTATAAATAAGGACCTCGAATAAATATTTATATGTGTATATATATATTATATTATATATATATATATACATGCATATATATATCTTTGTATACATATATATGTGTGTGAATGTGTAGCAAGACACAAGAAAAGAAAAAAACGGGCACTTAATACCAATGTTTTTATATGGTTGCGGATGCCCTTGTGGGTTAAACAAGTATAACAGAAGATTTCCCCACCCTTCGTAGGCCTTGGCCTCACCTGGCACTTAATGCTGGACTTTTGGTTGTGCAAAAGAAATATTCTCCCCCTTATATAAACTATCCAGTTAGATGGCTTGAACCATCAGGGCCTGCCTCTAGTAGTGTTCCTGTGTGTTTTTTAACAGTTGTGTGGTTTCCTGTAATTAAAATTACGCTTTGTAGCAGCAGAGCAGTAGAAAAAGAAAGCAATACTGTACATAGGATGACCTCTCTCTCTAACCCAGTCTAGCATGGGTCTCTCTTGCAAAGAATGCATGGAGAAGGGCTGGTATTATTTTAAAAACACACACACACACACATACACACACACACACACACACACTCAAACTCCTGTTTTTGCACGTGCAAAACAATGCTGGGTCTGATAAGATTTTTTGTTTGTTTGTTTGAAACCACATGAGACAGACTCATGAATAATACGCATGAAATCTTCAGAAGATGTTAGCCTATGAGATATCTATAAAGAAAAAAAGAATTAATATATTAAGTTATAATTGGAATATGTTTTAAAAGCTTTCTTATGTTAATCGTACCTTTTTTAAAATATAGAGAACCAATTTTAGCTCGTGTATATTTTTTATTAAAGAAAACCATACGTCCCTTGAAGACTATATAGAAAGTTATATATGTACTTTTGAACACATTCTGCTATGAATTATTTATACAAGCCAAAGTTGAATGGTGTAGCTTTTCTTTCTTTTTTTAAATTTGTAGAGTATACTTCTAACTTGATTTTTGACTGTCTATTGTTTTTATTTTCAGGGGAGGAAGGAAAAAAAAAAATTGCAGGCAGAACCTTAGGGAAAAATAAGCCATGAATATTCTTTATGTAAATTAAAATTTGAGCCAAATTTTGTGTATATAGCATCTTAAATATATGATCACCTTTTGGTGTAAGTACGTATGTACTGTACGTTCACCAGATTAAAAAGTATATTTTTGTGGATTGACGCCAACTTGAAGAAAAAAGAAGAAAAGGCGAAGTCCTTATTAGTAGAGTATTCACTGTTTAATATTTACTATTTTGTTCAATATACTGTACTTTCTTTTGGATTTAATTAATATTCAGACTTTTTTTCAAAGGGTGTTTTAAAAAGGGGGTTGTCCCCTTCACTGGTGGTGAATGTGTTTGTTAAAATTGTACTCTTTTTTTTTTGTGCTGTATAGTAAAGCTTCCCTTACACGTTTTATAAATATATACACACAGAGAGACACATACATATATATATATATGTATAAGTGTATATTTGTGTGTGCATGTGTGTGTGTATATATATATATCTATATCTATATATCAATATTTATATATATATGAAAATATATATGTATATAGATAGTAAAGTGATAAATCCTTCCCTAATCCTTCTTATAGAAATCTGATACTGAATTCATCCTGCATAAATAGAAAAAGATATTGCAACATGGTTTTTAAAGGCATTCTTTGCAAATGTCTTTTCTGGGGTTGAGGGAGCTATCATATTGTTCATGTAATGAAAACATGCACAGAGAAGCAAAAAGGAAGAGGGATTTTGAAGTGGTTTGTGTTAGTTTTTGGACAAGGTATATTTTACACGCATTTTGCTAATGCAAGTTATTTAGAAAGCGAGTTTACACTTTGAGGGGGAGTGGTGGCAGCTGTTTAGGAGTTTCCTCTAGTGTGTTCAGATATCCAACCTGTATTTTTGAGCACACGTTAGAATATTTAAATCTCTGGACCCCAAGGGCTGCTCCGTGGCTTTCATTTGCACTAATTGTAGATTTAAAGACAGCATCACGCCAGGTCTAAATTTGGCCTTATGGTGTACAATACGGGTGGGTGCATGTGTCAGTATCTCAGAGTTGAGCATAGAAGAACGTAATATTCACTTTTAGCCATTTCATTTCAGTGGATTCTCTTCTGCCGTCTTGAGGAAGTTATCCCCTTGGCTGTCTCGATCATCAAGCCATGCTTAACCATCCTACAGTGCAGTTCGTGTACAATTCATTTCCGTGGATCAGTTCACATTCGACCCAGTAAAAACTGCTTTGAATTTGGGAGTCTGGCAGGACAAATGCAGGGAAGCCAGTTGTGAGAATCAGTAAGCCTCTGGGCTCCAGTTGTGTGTATCCGCATAAATAGTATATTTGAACGTGTGATTTACCGTAAATGTGAGCCAGTCACTGGCTGCTTTCTTTTGGAGTGAAATAGTCATTCTGTTTCATATCTAAACTAGATAGTATTTTGGAACACATGCAATTGAATTCTGGAATGCTGACAAATTTTGAGTTTTAAGGTCAAGTTTTGACCCCCATTCCTTCTTAACCTACAACCTTCTAAACCTCTTAAGCTTGCTGGAAATCTCCCAATTAAACAGAAATGAAAGATACTTCCTTTTTTAAAAAACACATTACCTATTTTTGTTTTCTTTTTCTATCGTATGAATAATCGTATATACCAGTGGTGGATAGTGCCCCTTGTTATTGTTTTTCAGTTTGGGGGGGGGAATTACCCATTGCCCCTATTCTTTGTGATCATTTCTCAGTGTTTTGAGGAACTAAAAGAGCTGGAATTTAGCTACTTCAAAACTTGTTAGGGTAGAACAGAAAATGCTGTCAAACTTCCTTGCTCCCTCGCGTGGGAACAACACAGCCACTTCAGTGATCCTTCTGGTGCTTCAAATGAGCATGTTTCTCTGGCACTACATGGACCTTCCCGCAGATTCAAACGGGAGTTGTTGGGTTTTTTTCATTTCACATTTACTGTCTCATTTCTTGTGTGCCTTAATGCAAATGGCTGTGCTGACTGTATCTCAATAGTCTTTATTCCTATGCAGGTCTCTAAGGAGTTACATCATCATGCGTCTTTTTAAAAAACCATACAACAGAAAATCTTGGGCTTTGTAACATTAAGCCACCCCACTTTTGTTTTGTTTTGCTTTAAGAATCCTTTCTGGAAATCAGACTTTGTTAATTCTCGGCCCAACAGGTTGTTCTCAGATCTCCCCCTTTCTGTTTTTTTCCTGTGGGAAGAACTTCACATCATGAAAATGATTTTTTTTAATTTTATTTTTACAATTAGCACTAACTCGTGTAACTCTAGGCATTTTTTGGACATACCCTTTTGACCCTGTTGATAAAGTTGCAACAGCAGGTAGGATTGTTTATGCTAAGTTAGTAATAGCTGCATCCTGTACTTTTGGCATTTGAATGAGTTGGTGTTTCTGTGCTGTCATTTGCTGTTCCTTTGTACCAAATATAAAGTTTTGCACTGACATTGCGGCAGTGATGCAAAACATTTTTACAGGGCGATGCGTTTGTGAATCATCACCCTCCCTTCCAGCAGGAATTGTGCAATTATTCTGTAGCAGAAACCTCTGGGGCAGGAGGCAGTCAGGCATCCAAAGGGCCCTTCAGTTCGCTGCACATGCCTCACAGACCTGAATTTTCTTTTTGAATAGTTCAGGTAGTCTTCGTTTAGCAACCACAATTGGAACCGGCCACCATTAAGTGAAGACAGTGCGACTTCAGCTTTCCTGTGCTTTACAGACCTGCAATGGTCGTAAAGGCAAGGACTGCTCGCAAAGTGATCTTTTCACCACTGTCGTAACTACAAGTGGCCATTGCCCAAGGCTGACACTAAACAAGGACTGCCTGCAGTCCCTGACATTGCATGAAGAACCAATTTTGAAATCTTAACAGGAATTTGTATTACATCAATAAAGATCTGACTGGATTAAAAAAAAAAAAACTACTCTAAAATGCTGAAATATTATTTCTTGTTATTTGCAAAACCCCTCACCTTAAAGCATGCCTGAAGGCGCTCTTTGGTTTGATCTTGGTTCTCAGACCCAGTCTCTAGGATTTTAGCGACACTCTGAAAATTCATTCAGAGGTATATAGAGAGGTACATTGGGTGGCTTCTGACCTGATACATTTCCGTTAAGGAGATATGGCTTGAAATATCCTCAATACAAACCCTATGCTGAAAACAAGAACTTCAGGTAAGTTAGGATCCTTGGCCAAAGGGATGAACAGTCCATCCTCCCCAAGATGGCTAGGGGGTTATCAGCTTGACAGAGGGCTAAATCCTCCTAGAATTAATTTTCATTAATTGATCAAGCTCTTTTAATAAGGCTGTTTGAATACTCCCCCTTTTAAACTAATGAATGAGTTCAAACAATGGAGGTGATGGTGTAAAATAGTTTTAATGCATACATAATAAGATTTCAGCAAGACTGCATAGCACACAAATCTTTGTAGAAAAGAGGTTGCAAAGAATCATAGACCTATTAATAACTTTTTCTTTAAAAAAAAAAGGCATATAAAGAAACAAGGCTGTGCAGCACTTTGGAACAGTTCCAGAAAGGTGCTTTGGAATGTATAAGGGTGCGGATGTATGGGCTGTATGCAACTCTTTTAAAGCAGCTGCATCTTTTCCTGGGGATTGCACAGCAAAATCCTAGTAGGGAATGCTTTAAGCCTTTTACCTATTATAGGATATTAATGCATAGGCAAGTGTACTGTGTGCACAAGAAATATATAGTAAATAAGGAACATAAATGACTCCTCCCAGATGTCAACCATGGGAGAAAAAAAAGTTTGAAATTTAGAATGTGAAAGACTTTTAAAAAGAGAGATTTTTTTTCCTCACTTTGTTGTGCAAGAAAACACTGCTTTGCTATATTTAAAAAAGAAAAGCTTTTTTAAAAAAGAAATAAAATATATATATGTACTTAGTAATTGTTTGTAGTCGACAGTTCACAGACGAAGCTGTTTGCGGTTAAAGCCGCCTGGCGGCACAAGCTGGACTTTGTTGCCATCTTTAAGATGAATCTTTAAGAGAAAAAAAAAATTAAGTTAATCTTTTTCCCTGAATGTGGTGTTTTTTTCTTCATTATACAATAAATATTCTAGTGAACTTTTTATCAAATGGTTAAGAAAATGCTAGAAGTTGTTGTAAAATATTTGTATCTTGCATTCACTAAAGTAAAAATACTGGCTTTTACTGTGTATATCAGACTCACTCCTATTTAGAATGCCTGGTTATTCTACCTTCCCGTGTTTCTGAGTCCTTCCTAAGCTTGATTCATCTTTTTGTTAGTCATCGTCCCGTCACCAATGCCTACTGTGTTGTATGAACTTGAAAGTGGAGCTGTCCAACTTCATCAGGCTTTCCATCAAAAAAAAAAAAAAAAAAAAAGTGAATTCTTCTCTGCCAGCTCAGCCTTGACTGTCTAAATCAAACATGACCCCCCTCTTCCCCTCCCCGAAATGTCGAGCTGCATTATCACGGACTGTCACGAAGGTTTGGCTCAGCATTGCTAATTATAGTCCAGCTTAGCCGATCAGACTAAAACAAACTTCACCTTTTTGGAACATGACCCATTTTCATTGCAACCAAGATCCAGAATCATACAGTTTTTTTTGAATCTGGCCCTCATTTAGAAGACTCCCTCTTGAACGATGTTTTTTCTGATTGAACTAATTCACAAATTTGAACTAGCCAACAAAGGCATTTTTTGTAATGAATTAAAAGTCGGAGGTGTTTTTACATGCGTTGTCAATTTAAAAAAATTTTTTTACAACTGACTTAGATGAATTGTCTATATTCAGTCCAAGAAATAATACCTGAACTGGCATATCCTGGTATAAGCTGGGTTCACACTAAATTGTAATGTGGCTTGTTTAAAATCGGCTTGGCATCTTATATAAGCCCGATATATTGTGGTTTATTCAGTAAACTGCAGTTGGGTAGTCATGGCTTAGAATAATAAGTGTAAGCCAAGGAGCCTGCATGCGAGCTGTTAGCAGCTGCCTCTGATTCAAATATCTACCAAAACCATTTGCTTTGTTCAACTGATGATGAAAAGCAAATATTTGGAAAGACCTCATTTAAACTGTCCTGTTGACATCCAAAAACAACATTTCCTTTGGATTGAAATGTGTCGAAAAAGCAGGATCCTTTTCAGACTCCACATCTTCCCATCTTGTACTACTACTTTGAGTTGTTCTATGCTCTGGCTAAGATGCTGAGCTTGTCGATCGAAAGGTTGGCACTTCAGCGGTTCGAATCCCTACTGCCGCGTAACGGAGTGAGCACCCGTTACTTGTCCCAGCTTCTGCCAACCTAGCAGTTCGAAAGCACGTTAAAAATGCAAGTAGAAAAATAGGGACCACCTTTGGTGGGAAGATAAGTGTTCCATGCGCCTTTGGCATTGAATCATGCCAGCCACATGACCACAGACACGTCTTCGGACAGGGCTGGCTCTTTGGCTTTGAAACGAAGATGAGAGTCGGAAATGACTAGCACATATGTGCGAGAGGAACCTTTACCTTTATGCTCTGGCTGATGTCATCTCTGATGGTGTCCAGCAATCATGTTCTTTGGCCTGGTTTCCTTCTACCCTTGGAACATAGCTAGGAGTATTTAAAATAAGTATCTTTTTGTTCCCTCTGTAAATGCCTCAGTGTCAGTTTCTTTTTGCTTCTAAAACTGGATGTATATGAGAGAAAAAGAAGAATTCCTGCCACTGAGAAATTACTAGGATCCCCAAACGAACATGCAGCAAATAGAGGGACACTTTGACAGGTAAAACTTAATACTTCAACTTTATTAAAACATAGAGTCATAGCTCAAAGATGATAAGTTTAAATACTCAATTAAAAATATTCCAAAGATTCTTAAACTACTTCAACCAAAAATCAGGTTTGCTTAGGTCCTTTTAATTATAGTATTTGAGTTTTAGAAGAGGGAAATACTTATTTATTTTTTAATTACAACAGTGGAGGACAAGGTGAAAAAAGGCAGTTTTGCATAGGAAGAGTGAAGAGGGACAAGCTCTGTTTCCTCATATTAAAGATGCTCCCATTTCCATCAAAATTTTCTCCTGGCCCAATTGACGTGTTGAAAGAACGAACTTCAGTAGTGCAATAAATCCGTTAAATGTTTCATTTGTCTTACATTTGACAAGATAACCGATAATGAAAGATACGATACATGATTTGGGATCATAGGACTTTATTTGCTTGCATTACTCAAGATTGGTTAACTGGATTGCATTAACATCAATGAACAGGAATGTTCTCGTTCAGGAATCTGCTGCACCACAGAATTATAAACGTTGGTATCCTGTTTTCGTTATTGGCTTGTCAGTTACTCGAATGAAGAGGAAATGGAAATTAGCAAGCCAATCAGGTATGGACCTAAGGAAGTCTTGTTTTATCATCTGAAAGAAATGCATTTCAAAGAGTGTTAATTGAGGGGCCCATAGAGCTCTGAGCTTGGTTGTCTTGCAGATATATATACCCAAACTAGGTATATTCGTCATGTGAAAACCTCTGCAACAAAACAACCAAGATCAGAGAGCATCAAGGACCCGTTTCAACAAATATTCTCCTTTATTGGCATTGCATCATCTTTGTACTATTTTCCATGGGTAGACACAATTGGGAAGTACTTTTTAATATTTTCCCTTTGATGATTGATATTTTATAGAGAGCAATGAGGAAAGTCCAATTATCCCACTGCTGGTTTTTTGCTCTTGCGTATTTCATCTAATTCTGAGATTAGATTCACCGCTAATCAAACAATGAAAGAGAGGGAGGAAAGCCAGCATTTTGGAAACAATTGCCCAAGGTCCAAGGCAAAAGTTCTCCACTGCGTCTTTACTGAAACTAGTTAGGTTTAGTCAAATAATTGATTACCAAGCATTCGAATTTTGATCATGTGACCATGGGAATGCTTGAACCGTCACAAGCGTGAAAAATGGTCATAAGTTACTTTTTTTTCCAGTGCTGTTGTATAACAGTGACTAAACCAGGGGTCAGCAACCTGCGGCTCTGGAGCCACATGTGGCTCTTTTACCCCTCTGCTGCGGCTCCGTCACTCAAAATATGCGTCACAACCACCAATGCGCGACACCCGCCGGCATACAATTTATTGAGCTTTTCAACCCCCGGTAGGCCAACCATGGATAAATCCAAGAAAAGAGAAGTTTCAGAAGAAAATGTTTAATTCAACTAATTAAATTAGCTTCCAAATTAAACTAATTTGGAAGCTGAGGCCTAGTGAGGAAAACCTGGACATTTGTAGGATGCCGCAGCAGGTTGGGATTCCGTCCTGATTTTTGGTATTAAAAAAACAGCCTTTCCTACCCAGTGAGAGCAGACTCACCACTGGCTAATTTATCTTCCATGACTCATTTTGCTCCCTGTTGTTCCTCTGCCTGGTCTTCGCTCAAAAATTCGTTAGTAACCACAAACAACAAAGATATGCTCCACTGATCAATACTGTACTTGGGGTGGGGTTGGGGAACCCCAGAATCTGTTGTTACTTCCAGATCATTTGGGGCAGGGGAAGGAGGCCGGGTCATGTCACCCCCCCTGACTGGATGAAAGCTTGTTTAGTAGTATGGACAGTGATGCCGTTTTCCTGCCCAGCATAGTTTGGCCTTCCGACTGAAGAATTGTTCACTGAGATTTTAACAGGGTCTGTCGTGTTAGAGGTACTGGGAACCACATCTACTTGCTGGGTCTTAAAATAGACGATGTAAAACACAGGTAAAACAATTCCTATCAGGAGCATAAGAAAGACTGCTTTCCACCACTGGATCCCGTAATCTGCTCCGGTGCAGGTTGCTTTCTGCTCCCGAGATGACCGGTTCGAAGGTTCAATGAAAGGATCTGCGCAAGAAGGGATTTCTATCTGTGTCACCGTTTCAATGTTTTGGTCAATTCCTCTGAAATATTGGTCAATTTGTGCATGGTCGCCACTCCTGTTTCCTGGATCTATGGATACAGAGTGTTCCAGGAGCAAAGCAGGAGTATGGAGGGGTAGCAACTCATCGCTGGTCTCCGTCAGTAGTCCGTTAACCTTGACCGGAATCTTGATGGATTTCAGGGCGTAGAAGTCTTGTTCTTGGATAAAGTTATTAACCCTCTTGATATCTTCAACCTGGAAAATTGGTAAGGAGAAATATCTAAGGAGGTTCTCAGTCATCCAGGTCATGGTTGTCCCAAAAAGTACAACTTTTTCAGGAGGCAACTGGACTTCCTTGTTTTTCTTTTGAAGATGTTTCGCTTCTCATCCAAGAAGCTTCTTCAGCTCTGCCTGGATGGTGGGGAACGGAAGGATTTATATTCCTTGCAGGCAGCTGGCCATTTGCATTCTTTTTTAGAAAGTCATCGAGACCCCTTGGAGATTTGTCTGTGTCCTCAGGTCACTTGAGTAATGCAAATTGTCAAACCTCCAAGTGGCCTCAACGACTCTCTGAAAGGATGCAAAGGACCAGCTCTCTGCAAAGAATATACTATATTTTTCGGACTATAAGATGCCCTGGTGTATAAGACGCACCAAGATTTCGAAGCGACCCCCAGGAGCACTCTGCAGGCCTCCCAAAGCCTCTGCGCACCCCATTATTTGCCCATTTTTCACAAAAATGGCGTTTCTGCCCTCCCCAGCCCCCAGGAGCACTCTGCAGGCCTCCCAAAGCCTCTGTGCGCCCTGTTTTTGCAAAAATGGGACCCGCGGGGCTTCAGGAGGCCGAAAATGGCTGTATTCGGTGTATAAGACACACCAACATTTCCACCCTCTTTTAGGGGGAAAAAAAGTGCGTCGTATACTCCAAAAAGCACGGTAAATCCTTCCATACCCTACCATCCAGTCAGAGCTGAAGAAGCTTCTTGGATGAGAAGCGAAACGTCTTAAAAAAAAAAAACACCAAGGAAGTCCAGTTGCCTCTTGGGGGAAAAAAAAGCATCTTTGGTTCATAAAGGGAAACGTTTTATTTACCAAATTTATAGGCTCACCCACCCACCCCTCTTTCCAAGTGACTCTGCCAGGACATTAAAACAACCAACAGAAATAATAAAAAAAGACATACAATCCAATCTTCAAAGGCAGGTGGGTCTAATATTACAACCTGAAAATCCACTGGAAAAAAACAGGTATGTATTGTATTTTTCGGAGTATAAGATGCCCCGGAGTATAAGACGCAGCTTAGTTTTTGGGGAGGAAAATAGGGGGGAAAAAATCTGCCTACCAGGTATTCATCTGGGTAGCGTCCTTAGTCTGGTCAGCTTCAACATATTCATTTGCTGGTTTTTTATCCCCTGCTTGGGGATAAAAAAACAGCTTCTAAGGCACAGCTGAGAGAAAGCAGCAATGAGAAAAGCAGGCAAAGCACAGGGGAGATCGCTTCACTCGGCTAGCGCCTAGTTAGGGCTGAAAAAAAGCTTCTAAAGAACAGCTGAGAGTTGCAGCAAAGCATGGAGACCGCTAGCGCCTCGTTAAAGCACAGCGGAGAGTCGAGGGAGCAGGCAAATCTGGGAAGATCGCGTTAGGGCTGGAAAAAAGCTTTGAAAAAGCTACATTTGGAGTATAAGACGCACCCAAAATTTCAGCCTCTTTTAGAGGGAAAAAGGTGTGTCTTATACTCTGAAAAATACGGTAATAATTTCCAAATGAATAGCAAAATTGGAGCCAATCGACACTCAGGATGGAGACCACTCCAGACAGCGGGTGCTGCTATTAAAAAAAAAGAGGAAGACTTCCTACAAACATGTGAACCTTTCTTCTTGTAAAATAAATGGCGACATGGTGTAAATATGCCACGTGTGATTGTTCACCTGAGATTGTATTTATCTACTTTTTAAGGATCGCTAAAGCCCAGTTGATTTTTACCAACGGTATGTCCTGATATGTAAAACCCATAGAACTCAAAGAGTGTGTACTTTCTTTTTCATCTGGCTGTAGGTCAAACCAGAGGACATTGGTCCAGAGAAGGGATTTGGAGCATGCCCAGCCAGGAAGAGATGGGAGACGGGAGAATATGAACCTAGACGGGGCAATGCAATGTCAACATTTTGAATGAGTACCATTTTTTCCTCTAGAATAGGTGAAAATTTGCAACTTCCTGTTCGCTTCAACAGCCCTTCCTCCAAAATTAGCTCAATTAGTTCCTTCTCTGCAGTTTGATAGGGATGACACAGAGAGGGCCAGAAAAAAGGATGACAATAATTATAAAAAATGACAACAGAATAAATAAGGGGTAGAGTTAATATATCCCCTCCTCCTTTTGGTCTACTGGCATATTAGATACCTTCCTCCTAACAATACGCTCATGGGAATGTGGTTCTTGGCAGAAAAAGATGATCCAGCCTGAACGCCTTTGCTTCCATATGACAATGACAAAACAGAACTCAAATATAGTGGTAGCTTCCTAGTTGTGTTCTAGGTGTCAACTTGCAAAACATCCCTGGCCTGCTCTTCAGTTGCCATAGGCCAGGGGGGATGGGAAACCGGCTGAAATGGCACAGCAGCCAAAGAGAGATGCACATTCCACGCTTATCTCTTCTCAAGGCTGTATCCCAGGGTTACATACAGCAACCGAGGGGAGTGACCTCTACAACCCTCAAAATATGTGATTAATGACACACCCTGGGGGGGGGGGAAACAGAGTGTAAATTACGTAGAGTCAGAGCTGGCTTCACTTGGGAACGTGCGAACATGAAGCTCCTAATATATAACTGGATTTCTTTTGAAGCTTGACTGGAGACTCAAGTTTAAATTAGGGTGTCCGGAAGCCTGACACTAGGATTATTCCTTATCTGTTCCTACAGATGTATCTTTTAAAATAGTTCAGCCGTTTACAGTGATAAGGTTCCAAATGGAAAACCAACCAGAATTTACCACTATCAGAACCTTCTCATTGTATCAGATTTTGTCTCCTGGATCCTTTTCTTCTTCACCATTTCTTGGCTATCATTTTTTAAAATATAATTTAGATAATTCCCCGCAAGACCCAGTTAGTTTCTGAGAATCCAAAGAAGTTCAGTTCCAATTACTGAAAGTTTCTAGCGTTCTGAAGTGTGTACATTTATGTGCAACACATTAGAACTGCCCTTTAGAATTGGACAGTTCTTCAGAATTTAGTAAATCATAACCAAAGACTGAAAAAGAGGTGGTTAGGCTAAGCATGCCATCTAATTATTGCAAAGGAATTAACATTAACATAAGAGCCTTGGTAGTACAGTGGTCTAAAGCACCCTGTTATTAAGACCAGCTGCCTGCAATTACTGCAGGTTCGAATCTCGCCAGGCTCAGCCTCCCATCCTTTCTAAGGTAGGTAAATTGAGGACCCAATTGTGGAGGCAATAAGCTGACTTTGTATAAATATACAAAAGGATGAAGGCTACTGCTTAGCGCATTGAAGCCACCCTGAGTCTCCGGAGAAGGGCGGCATATAAATCAAAATAATAAATAATAAATAAATAAACATTTCATGACAAGCTAACAACTTCCTTTCATGTAAATCAAGGGTTACATTTTGTTAATCTTGTACTAGCAGCTGTTGCCAGTTAAACCCAGAGATAATCCTAGGATTCTATTGCATTTTAGGAAACTTGTTTGTGAATTAGCTCTATTATTCTTAGTACTTTTTCAACAAGCTTCTTTAATGATTCTGATAACAACAATAGACAATTCTAGGATTCAGCACCACTCTCTTCCCAACCAGACAGAATTCAGCACAACTCCAGTTCAAAACTGGTAATTCCTAACTCCTGCCAGTTAAATAATCACACTGGTTGCATTTAGCAAAGTGTTCATTCAGACATTTAGAAAAGTATTGTAGAAACCTCTCTCTTATGGCATGGAAGAAAGCAAGCATTTTTGGGTGTTACTCTGGACAAAGGCTTAATCCTAACTTTCAAACATGAAAGTTTCAAAGTTTTTTTTTTCACAGAGATGTTTGGGGGTACACTGGTATAATTTTAAATCATTTTTTAATTGGGTTACTGATTTTAATTTGGTATTGTATTGTGATTTGTATTGAAGTTGTCATTTTGTAAGCCGCCTTGAGTCCCTAGGGAGAAAGGCAGCATATAAATCGCAATAAATAAATAAATAAATGAATGAATGAATGAATGAATGAATGAATGAATGAATGAATGAATGAATGAATGTTTGGTTTTTACTACTAATTCACTACTAACTCTAATGGCAGAAAGTAAAGAGGAACTAAAGAGCTTCTTGATGCGGGTGAAGAAGGAGAGTGCAAAAGTTGGCTTGAAACTCAACATTAAGAAAACTAAGTTAAGGTTTCAGTGGGGGAGGTAGTACTTTGAGGATAAGTAGATTAATCTAGTTTATGTTTGACTAAATGAAATACCTTGTATTTTGCTCTGGGAAGTCGGGGGGAGGGTGGGATGAAGGGGGCAAAGGGTGGGGGGAACAGGGGGGGAATTTTTTTTTTCTTTTTTGTAAAACTTTTCAATAAAAAAAAGAAAGAAAGAAAACTAAGATTATGGCATCTGGCCCGCTCAATTCCTGGCAAATAGATGGGGAAGAAATGGAGGTAGTGACAGATTTTATTTTCCTGGGCTCCAAGATCACCGTAGATGGGGACAGCAGCCAAAAAATTAAAAGACGCTTGCTCGAGGGGAGGAAAGCTATGGCAAATCTAGACAGCATACTAAAAAAGCAGAGACATCACCCTGCCAACAAAAATGCGCATAGTCAAGGCTATGGTTTTCCCAGTTGCAATGTATGGCTGTGAAAGTTGGACCTTAAGGAAGGCTGAGCGCCAAAGAATGGAGGCCTTTGAACTCTGGGGCTGGAGGAGACTCCTGCGAGTCCCTTGGACTGCATGGCGATCCAACCAGTCAGTCCTAGAGGAGATCAACCCTGACTGCTCTTGAGAAGGCCAGATCCTGAAGATGAAACTCAAATACTTTAGCCACCTAATGAGAAGGAAGGACTCCCTGGAGAAGAGCCTAATGCTGGGAACGATTGAGGGCAAAAGAAGAACGGGATGGCAGAGAACGTTGTGGCTGGACGGAGTCATTGAAGCAGTCGGTGTGAGCTTACATGGACTCCAGAGGATGGTAGAGGACAGGAAGGCCTGGAGGAACGTTGTCCATGGGGTCGCAATGGGTTGGACACAACTTCGCAACTAACAACAACTAATTCGGATGATATGCTCCAGTAATTACATGTAGATTGTCTTGCACTAGTTTAGTGTAAAGCTCAAGTATGTCCTAGACACTCCTCTTGTGGAGCCAAGGATTAAGAAAGAGTTCTTGCACCAAACTTCCTCATTTGTTAAAATGTTTAGTTACATACATTCAAAACAACTTTGGCCAGATCTTAGTTGAGTGCAGTTAGAATACAGAATAGAATACACAGGCTTCTCCAATTCTCTTACTTTCATGTCTCTTGAGTGTTACGCCTTATACTGTTTCTACCCAACATGAAATATAGTCCCCTTGCATCTGAACTCTCCCAGTTGAGGGAGTCAGTAATATTGCCTAATCAGAACTTTGTGAGTTTAACAAGGAGGCTAAAGTCACACATTGTTAGGATCCAGAATCAGGAACGGAGTTCCCTACCAAAGGTTAATTCTCTCTCTCTCTTTTTTTTCCCTAAGACAATTTACTTCAGGACCAAATGATATGTTGCATAAAACTCCCCAAACAAATCATGCAAACTATTACCAGAAATAAAGCTTTCTATAAGCATTGATAAAAATTAAATAGTACAACACAACTTTCGGGTCCAAATCAATCCCTGCGGGGGGAAATCTATGCAAAATCCATGGAGACCCCATTAACTCTGAAGCAGACCAGCCCACAGTTCAGGTTCTTTTAAGTGAGCTGCTTCTATGCCGAGATCAAATTAAATCCACAGTTTAATCTCAGTCCCACTCACTTCAACAGAGTCCCCATGGAGAAAGGAGGAGGAGAAAGGCATAAGTTATCTCTCAAAATAATAAAGGCACCATATAATTAAGTTATAATTAATAAGTTATCTGCCTCAAGTTATCTCTCAAAATAATAAAGGCACCATATAATTAAAATAAATAAAGCCAGCCTTGATTTTTCAAGTTGCACAATATTCTTCGATCAGCAAAAATAATCTAATGACTAGCTTAATCATTAAATGACCGAATGCAAGCACCGAAGCTCCTAATTCACCCCGATGTGCCAAAGGTGGCATCAGGGAGCAGTCACCTTTGCCAACCTCTCAACCGGAAAAACCAGATTGCCCTTCCTAGCCTTCGAACATCCCGAACTGGAAATTAATCCTGTAAACAACCATGGCTTGGAATAAAAGACCTATCCATCCAAGTTGGTAGAAAGAAGAGCCATTCGCTTTTCCTCCAAAGAAGCCGCTTCTTACTTTGCACCCGTACTGCAGAGCCAACTTGTTGAGGTTGTCGTCTTTTTTAACGACCCGTTCTAGAAGCCGCACGTCCCCAACTCTATTCTGGGAAGAACTGGAGGGTTGTTGGGGGTCTTTCCCCCTTGCGCGTAATTCCGTGGCGTTGAACTCCTCCTCTGACGAGTCCTCCGAATCGGATTGTCTGCTGCTTCTGAACAAAAACACTTGACTACCTGAGAAGTTTTGGACCTTGGCAGGAGCTTGGAAGGGCCTGACCAGCCTTTCATTCAGCCTCATGTTGTACAGCAACCTCTGCAAGGGCAAAAAGAAAGTATTATTCATCAAGGGCCTTGGTAGTACAGTGGTCTAAAGCACCCTGTTATTAAGACCAGCTGCCTGCAATTACTGCAGATTCGAATCTCACCAGGCTCAAGGTTGACTCAGCCTTCCATCCTTTCTAAGGTAGGTAAATTGAGGACCCAGTTGTGGGGGTGACTTAGTATAAATATACAAAAGAATGAAGGCTATTGCTTAGTGCATTGTAAGCCGCCCTGAGTCTCCGGAGAAGGGCGGCATATAAATCATTTTTTTTTTAAAAAAAAGTGAGCCAAGATTATTTGAGGACAGAAGTTGAGCCAGTGCAAGGCAAGCCTTGAGGCAACAACTCAGAAAGAAGGTAGATCATTCATGTGGACATGTTACACCATAAGGTTCCCTCATCCTAAAGAAACAAGTTCCTTTTCCATTTTTAATGTTCACGTCCCATGGCATATTTTCCTTATCAATGCCTTTGGTCTTATTAGCCTCATCCCTTAGGTATAAAGGCTGGGAATGTGCTAAACTGGTGACGTCCAGAGGTGGAGAGATGAACCTCAAGACAATCTTGGATTTTCAAGAATGGAGAAAAATTTGCACTTTGTTGCAAAAATAGGCTTTTAGTTTGCCTTTCAGCTCCAATCCAGGAGCCATCAGGCAGTCGCTTTCACGACAAACTATTTTGTATCAAATTTATATTTGCTGATAAAGAAATAAAGGAATAAAATAGAATAGATCTATTTCAAGCTATTTAGCCCTCATCAGCTAGTCATACCCTTACTTGGATTCGAACTTGGGCTGTCTGCATATTAGGCAGTTGTATTAACCTCTTTTTTTTTTTTTTAATTTTGATTTATATGCCGCCCTTCTCCGGAGACTCAGGGCAGCTTACAATGTGCTCAGAAATAGCCTTCATCCTTTTGTATATTTTATACAAAGTCAGTTTATTGACCCTACAACTGGGTCCTCAAATTACCTACCTTAGAAAGGATGGAAGGCTGAGTCAACCTTGAGCCTTGGCGAGATTCGAACCTGCAGTAATTGCAGGCAGCTGGTCTTAATAACCAGCTTAATAACAGGGTGCCTTAGACCACTGTACTAGCCACAAGTTCTCCTCCCTTTATCAGCTTGAGGCTCCTCCCTAGCCACAAGTTCTCCTCCCTTTATCAGCTTGAGCCAAGGGAGAAATTAAGTGTTTTTCTATCGAAGCACCTGGTCTACCCCAATATTTGGTATAAAATGGTTTGTCGTGAATGCAACTGCTTGAGGGGTCATGGATTGGAGCTGATAGGCGAAAGGGAAGCAGTATGCTCCCTCCCATATTGGGGTAGACCAGGTGCTTGATAGAAAAACACTTATATGTGTGTATGTGTGTGTGTGTGTATTTATGTGTGTGTGTGTGTGTGTGTGTATGTATATACATACATACAGTATATTGTAGCTATGCATATTAGGAAGCTTTTGCCGAGCCTTCAAAGGCAGTGTCCTATTCAGTTTTCTCAATCCTTCGTGACTTTAAGATAATCTTAAAACTCAACTCCATGAATGCCTTAGCTAGCATTAATAATTAAGTAATACACCAATGACATTTTTTTCCCTTCAAATGTTCATTGTGAATTCAGTATACTTCCACTGAAATTCCCACTGATGTATCTCCATTAATGCATTCAATATCCATTTAATCATACAATATCTCCTCTGTTGGGATTCTGTGTCATACTTCATGAACACTTTATAATGGCCTTCCAGGTATTATTGAGATTTTTTTTTTTTTTATTTGATTTATATGCCTCCCTTCTCCGGAGACTCAGGGCGGCTTACAATGCGTTAAGCAATAGCCTTCATACTTTTGTATATTTATACAAAGTCAGCTTATTGCCCCCACAAACTGGGTCCTCAATTTACCTACCTTAGAAAGGATGGAAGGCTGAGTCAACCTTGAGCCTGGTAAGATTCGAACCTGCAGAAATTGCAGGCAGCTGTGTTAATTACAGGGTGCATTAAACCACTGTACTACCAAGGCTCTGTATGTATATGTAGATATGTATTATGAAACCCCCAAATTCAGTCAGCTCTCTCTGTACTCTGCAATTTTTGTTAATACTAAACTATGTATTTGAATATACTGAAATCAGATATCGTTTATCAAGTATAAACAATGTTAATAGCTTATCATCTTCTCTTAAAATACTACAAATTATTTCTTTTCCCCTTACCTCCTCTCTTATCTATAAATAAATCATTAAAGTCTTCATTGTTCGATAAAAGTCCATTAAAGGTTACCAGGCATCTCAACGTATCTATTTTAAGGGCAAATCAAACAAACAGATTCATTCAACCAACCAACTTTATCTTCCTTTCTTTTAATTTCAAGAATATTGATCTTTAATTCCTTCCAATAGTATCTTTCTTTCCATTTTTTGGGGGGGGGGGTACCTTTTCACTAAATCCTCCAAAGCTTTAACAAACCTCTTTGATAAATCCCATATAGAAAAGTTATCCATGTCACTTTCTGGATTTGTGATTTGTATATCCCAGGGGTCAGCAACCTGCGGCTCTGGAGCCGCATGTGGCTCTTTCACCCCTGCTGCTTCTGCTCCCTGTCACTCAAAATATACATCACAACCACCAATGTGCGACACCCACCAGCACGCAATTTATTGAGCTTTTCAACCCCCGGTAGGCCAACCATGGATAAATCCAAGAAAAGAAAAGTTTCAGAAGAAAACAGAACATTTAATTCAACTACATATGCTAGTTTTGTGGCCGCTCAAGAAATTGTCAGGCACCGGAAGGGTTTTGTGGCTCCCGGTGTTTTCTTTTCTGTGGGAAACGGGTCCAAATGGCTCTTTGAGTGTTTTAAGGTTGCAGACCCCTGGTATATCCCTTCTTTAAGGCATCAGAAATCCAAAAGGTGCCTCTTCCTTATCAACATGTGATCTCATTGTCCTCATTCCTGAGCTTTATTCTGGTAATCTGATTTGGAAATGAGCAATCCAAAGACTTGTGGCTCTACCCACTTTCCTTCCAGAAAGACTGATGTCAAAATGTTTAGTCATGAGTCGATGACTAAACATTCGACTACCAGCAAGTAGAAACACTTCAAGTAAAAGATTTTTCTGCCTTGGTGGGGTTGCACTTACTACTAAGCCTTCCTAGTGAAACTCCAAGGGTGGACATCTCTGGCCCTTTTATGACCTGTGGACTTCAACTCCCAGAATTCCTGAGCCAGCCATGCTTGGAGCTGAAAGTCCACAGATCATAAAAGGTGCTAGAGTTGCCTAATCCAACATGAATGGAAATATTAATGTGGGCATTAGTAGGATGAAAATATTGGGCATGGTAGAATTGGTGGCTGCCTTTATTGCAGATTCTTCACATACCATTTGCGTGTGTCAGAAAAGAATAATATAAAATTTGACTTTAGGAATATTGTCTTGCAAGGGCAGGCAACACACACACACACACGGGAGGCATTTTCCTAGCATAGCAAAGTCTGTTTTGTTCAAAACAACACAACTTTCCAGGACTTTCCTTCCTAAATTCTTTCCCTTAAACCCTTCCAGCGATCCCTCCTTCCCTGCTCTCCAAAGTAGGTCCGAGAACTGCTCTCTGCCTCGCCCTCCCTCCCGCCATTCCCTCTTTTTACCTTTCCAAAAGATGAGGAGTTTGTAAAATTCTAAACCTAGTTAAGTGAAAAGAGTTTCCAGCATCCCGGCTGGGGGAAATTCTTAGTAGTTGGAAAGTCCGCACGTCTGAAGGTTTGAAGAAGAAGAAAAAAAAAACAACCCCTGTGCCAAAGCATGCTGACTGGGAACTCTGGAAGTTGGAGTCCCCACCTCTCTCAGAATTGCTAAGCTCGAGAACAATATTAAGATCCTCGAGATGATCCCCAAATTCTCCCTTCTACCTCCCTAAACGTTGTGGCTCTTCCCTCCTGGACAGACACAAAGCCCCCCACTCCCAGGACAGAGACCCCCAAGACCAATCTCCACCTCCTCGCGGATGAGGGCCCCCATATAACTTTTCCCCCCTTCCTCCTCCTCCTCTTCCTCCTCCTCCTCCTCTTCCACTCCTCCCCAACAGTCCTAGTTCCTTCCTTCCATTTCTTTGCTGACCTGGATTCCGGGCAAGCACCCTTCCCTTCCTTTCCTGCTTGCCCCTCTCGAGCTGGCTTCAACCGGTCAAAACTCCTGGCTTGCTTTCTTCACCATTGGCTGCCATAGCCCAGGAAGGCGAGGCCCGGACCGCATACCAGCCAGTCCCACGCAGGGAGTGGGCGGCGGAACGGGCACGGGTGTGGGCAGGGCGTTAGCAATGAGTTTGCCGGGGCGGGAGCAGCAGACGCCTCGGGTTTTAAAGGGCGAGCGCCTCTGATAACTTTCATTTCCATAGGTCAAAACAAAAGAAAAAACAAGACAAGACAAGACAAGACAAAACAAAACAAAACAAAACAAAACAAAACAACAACAGAACAGAACAGAACAGAACAAAACAAAACAAAACAAAACAAAACAAAACAAAACAACAAAACAAAACTAAACTAAACTAAACTAAACTAACACCCAAAGGAGGTCAAAACAAAAGAAAACAATCTAATAAAGGGAAAAGGAAAGAAAGGAAAATACAAAAAGTGCAAAGAAAAAAGAAAAAAGAGAGAGAAATACCTAAAGAAGCTAGAAGACTTCAGTAACAGTAACAGAGGTGGAAGGGACCTTGGAGGTCATCTAGTCCAACCCCCTGCTCAGGCAGGTAGGGATTTGAACCGTGGACCTTTCGAAGGGACAAGCTTGGTGTCTTAGCCACTGAGCCACTTAGTCTACAGGCCTTTGTAAGAGATAAGAAGAATCCCGTCATCTCCCCTCCTTCTTTTAACGCAGGGGTCTCCAATCTTGGCCACTTTAAGCCTGGAGGACTTCAACTCCCAGAATTCCCTAGCCAGCTTTGCTGGAGGACTTCAACTCCCAGAATTCTGGGAGTTGAAGTCCGCCAGGCTTAAAGTTGCCAAGGTTGAAGACCCCTGTTTTAACTATTCCATAAATTCCTGCAGCTCCTTTACTTAATTCTCATCTTATTTTCAATCATTAAATTGCTAAAGCTGCTGCTGTGGAAAATGATGGGACTCCTCTGCTGTATTTTCACCTACTGCCTCCAGTTTTGGTCACCACATTTAAAAAAAAAGAAAAAGATTTCTAAAGTGTCTAAAGGGCGCAGCTCGTATGTAACACCTCTCCTACGCGAGCTGCACTGGCTCCCGGTGGTCTTCCGGGTGCGATTCAAGGTGTAGTTATCACCTTTAAAGCGCTCCATGGCTTAGGACCTGGGTACCTACGAGACCGCCTCCTGCCACCAGTAGCCTCCCACCGACCAGTTCGTTCTCACAGGGAGGGACTACTCAGGGTACCGTCAGTCAAATTATGTCGACTGGCGACTCCCAGGGGGAGGGCCTTCTCTGTGAGGGCTCCAACCCTTTGGAATGAACTGCCCCCGAGATACGAAATATCCCTGATCTCCGTGCTCTCCGCCGTGCCCTCAAGACCCTGATGTTCCAACAGGCGGGGCTAAACATACGAACATGTGAATGATTTTTTAAAATGTTATCTAATTCTGGGTTTTATTTAATTGACCAAACTAAGTAATAATTTTAATTAGCAATTTTATGATGTTTGTGTGTCTATATTTTTCTTGACTGTACACCGCCTTGAGTCCTACGGGAGAAAGGCGGTATAGAAATATAATATAAATAAATAAATAAATAAATAAAATAAATTTGAGTTTCATCTTCAGGATCTGGCCTCCTAAAGAGCAGTCAGGGTTGATCTCTTCTAGGACTGACCGGCTGATCGCCTTACAGTCCAAGGGACTGCGGAATCTTCTCCAGCACCTTGTTCAAAGGCCTCAATTCTTTGGTGCTCAGCCTTCCTTATGGTCCAACTTTCACAGCCATCCATTGCAACTGGGAAAACCATAGCCTTGACTATACACACTTTTGTTGGAAGGGTGATGTCTCTGCTTTTTAATATGTGGTCTAGCTTTGCCATAGCTTTAGTTCTACATGTGTCTAAATAATGCTTCGAGGAAAAAATGATTATTTTTTTTAACAAGCCAATCTGCCGCTGTAATGGACAAAGGTTGCAGGTGGGCAGAACTGAAACCACCACAAACCCACGAGTGGCAATATATGCCTTTGAATGAAATTTGTTAGCCAGAAAATGTGCTATTAGGATTTTCCTGATCCGGGTGGGAGGAAATTGAGATAGCAATTTTAACAACTTGCCAGCAGATGGCGCTCATACCATACATTTTAAAAGCAGTTTAATTACACATGGATATTTTGCTTATTCACAAATGGTACTGATGGGGCAACTGGAACTGAGGAGAAAGAAATCACGGAGTCAGCTAAAATAACCGCTTTTATTATTTATTATTTTGGCATCCACCCTCCAAACATGTTGGCCTGTCACTTAGTCATACAGGTGGAGTCATGTTTGTAAAGCCTTAGTAAGATCACACCTGGAATATTGCATCCAGTTTTGGTTACCACACTATAAAAAAGATGTTGAGACTCTAGAAAGAGTGCAGAGAAAGAGCAACCAGGATGATGAGGGGACTTAAGGCTAAAACAGATGAAGAACGGTTGCAGGAACTGGGCATGGCTAGTCTAGTGAAGAGAAGGACCAGGGGAGACATGATGGCAGTCTTCCAGTATTTGAGGGGCTGCCACAGAGAGAAGAGGGGGTCAAGCTATTCTCCAAGGCACCTGAAGGCCAGACAAGGAATAATGGATGGAAACTGATCAAGGAGAGATTCCACCTAGAAATAAGGAGAAATTTCCTGACATGAGAGCAATCAACCAATGGAACAGAAGTTGCCTTTAGAAATTGTGGGAGCTTCATCACTGGAGGCTTGCAAGAAGAGACTGGACTGCCATCTGTCAGAAAAGGTGTAGGGTCTCCTGCTGGGTTGGGTGAGGGGGGTGGACCAGATGACCTACAAGGTCCCTTCCAATTCTGTAAATCTGTTAATTTCCTGACAGTGAGAACAATCAACCCATGGAACAGAAGTTGCCTTCGGAAGTTGTGGGAGCTTCATCACTGGAAGCTTTCAAGAAGAGACTGGACTGCCGTTTGTCAGAAATGGTGTACGTTCTCCTGCTTGGCCAGGGGGTTGGAATAGATGACCTCCAAGGTCCTTTCCAGCTCTATATTGATTGATTGATTGATTGATTACAGTAAATTAATTTTGAAGATTGGTTTTTGATCTGCTGGTGGTGTTTCTTCTCAGCCTCTGAAAAAAATGCTTTAAGGACAATGAAAGATAAAATTGTGAACTCTTCCCAAGTAGGGCAGTATCAATAATTTACTTTGAATAAACTCCACATATTGCAAAGAAAGGCACGGCTTGTTGAAATTTTGGAAAAAATACATTTATTATTTAATTTTTAATATTAATATTTATTTTAAACACAATGAAGCTTCTTTCATTTCCATTTCATTACTCTTTTTTAAAAAAACAAAACTACAATTGGTTTTATTCAGCTTGACTGTATTTCTGTGACCAATTTTAACCAGCACCAGGAAAAAAAATTAGAAGTATTATCTTGACTATAGTTCATATCTAATCGTTTTTAAAATATATATACATTTTTGCTCTGTACTGAACAACGTAACATTACATTATTGCCTTGTATTAGAATAAAATATCAATATTCAGCTGCAAATGAATTTTTTAAATTACAAAGGGAGAAAAAGTTAGCACCAAATGACAAATTGTGCAACTATAAATGTACAGTACTTCATGGAACAGTACATAGAATAAGGCTTTGTCACAGTGGAAATATGACAATGCAGGAGTGCTGAGCTGAAAATTAACAAATAAAAATATTGCTTTAAGTAGAATGAAAGGCACAAGTGTCTATGCCCTGCCCCCCAACTGTAGAACTATTTACCGTATTTTTCGGAGTATAAGAAGCACCGGAGTTTAAGACACACCTTAGTTTTTGGGGAGGAAAATAAGAAAAAAGCTGATTGGGGGTGGATCGGCCTCCAGGAATACCCCCAATCAGCTGTTCCCAGAGGTGAATTTTAGCAACAGGTTTGTTGGTTGTGAGCTCTGTGCCTTTATTTATTTATTTATTTATTTATTTTTGCTTTTTTTTTTCCTGACGTTTCAGAAAAAAAAAATTTTTTTCTGCCTTTGAAAGCCTCCAAAACAGAGCTTTTTTTCTGAAGCTCTGTTTGGAGGCTTTTTTTCTGAAGTTTCTTTCAGAGGCTTTTTTTCTGAAGCTCTGTTTCGGAAGCTTTTTTTCTGAAGGACTATCTGTACTCTGTTCAATCTCCTTTCTTTGGTATTGGTACATAGATTAACCTCTTCCGATCTGTTGGTTATTGTGTCATTCTCCAGATTTGTTAACATAGTTTGGTGAGAACTTTTACTGATTCTTTTTTTGTTGCTTGCCATATTATTTTAGATAAAAGCCTTTCAGAGGCTTTTTTTCCTGAAGCTTCTTTCAGAGGCTTCTTTCAGCCTCTGAAATCTCCGTTTGTGGGGCTCGGCGGGGCTACATTCAGAGTATAAGATGCACCCAAATTTTCACCCTCTTTTCACCCTCTCATTGGTATTATACTCCGAAAAATACGGTAGGTATTCCACCATGAAACTACAGGTAGTTCTCGACTTACAACCATTTCTTTAGTGACCATTCAAAGTTACAATGGCATTGAAAAAAGGGGCCCATGATCATTTTTCACACTTGCAACCGTTGCAGCATCCAGGTAGTCAAAATTTGGATGCTTGGAAACTGACATGTACTTATGACGGTTGGAAGTATCCCAGGACCATGATATCACCTTTTGTGATAAGCCAAAGTTAATGGGAAAGCCGGTCCTTATTTTGAAGTTATGGGTGCTATCAAGCAAATGAAATTTTCTATGGTCAGTGCTGCAATCTTGTTGAAATGTTTCATGCCACACGTATAGGTGGTAGCCCTCGACATACAAGAGTTCGTTTAGTGACCAAAGTTACAACGGAACTGACCAAAAAAAGTGACTTATAACTGTTTTTCACATTTATGGCCATGGCAGCGGCCTCTCCCTGGTCATGGGATCAAAGTTGAGATGTTTGGCAACAGGTATGCATTTATGAGGGTTGCAGTGTCCCGGGATCATGTGATCACTTTTTGCGACCTTCTGACAAGCAAAATCTACGGGGAAGCCAGATTCTCTTAACAAACATGTATTCACTTAACAACAAGAACGGTCATAAAATGGGACAAAACTCCCTTAACAACTGTTCTCGCTTAGCAACAGAAATTTTGGGCTCCACTGTGGTTGTAAGTCAAAGACTACCTGTATAAGTGATATATATAACTATATTGTTGCAAATGCACATATCGGATCAGATGCATTTTATCCACAATTTCTGAGTCTGGACTGACAGACAGCAAAACCTTTAAACATGGTCTGTTTTTAACTTATTGACTGTGTAATAAAATATTTCAAGATGGGCTTACAAAACGATTAATTCATCTTTTATTTATTATTGTTGTATCAAATATTTCAGATGCATTAGGCTACCACTTGTCAGAATTCCCATCTTAGCTGAGGCTGGAAACTGTGGTCTAAAATAATCTAAAATAGTCTAAAATATTAAATAGAACCCCAGCCCAGAGAAAAATTAATATATATATATATATTTTAGGTAAGATGGCTATTAATTAGGGTTTTTTTTTAAAAAAAAAAATTCTCTGAAATTATACTTAGTGGAGGATTGAGGGGCTACAGTAGATTTCTTTCAGAAGCTTCAGAAGCCTTAAACCTGCTGCTTTCCGCTTTCTAGTAACATTATATAAGATTTCATTTCATTAATGGTTTTTCCCTTTCAACCATCCAGAGATGCAGACAGAGATATTATTCGCCTCAGGCTTATCTGCAGAGGTGCGTTACGTCTCCAGTCAATTTAATTGCTCTCCGAATCTTTTCCTTAAAAAATAAAAATTAGAAAACGGTGACAAGCCATCCAGTGGCTTGTGCAATAATCTATATATTAATGAAACCAAAAAATAAAATAAAAAAAAATGCAGCCATGTCAAAAGTATCATAACGTTGTACAGGATCGGTTTTTGAGATGAATTCTTTTTTTTTCTTTTTTCTTTTCTTTTCTTTTCTTATTTTTTGTGGCGATCTTGCTTTCATTTCATCCAGTCTGCAAAAAGGAGCATCAAGTCCTGTTAAATAAGCCCTGAAATTCATCGGTTGTGTGAGTAACTGGTGTTTGTAATGAAAAAGATATTTTGCATTTGCAATTTTCGGATGCGGTCGACCTTGCCGAATCAAATCAAGGTCCGTCTCTGTCAAGCTTCTTCTTTTCAATGTCCAGCCATGCGAAAGGTGATTATGGCCTTTCCAATGTGATATCATTCGCACTTGCATTTCAAAAGCAGATGACCTCTCTCCATAGAGGCTCTATATAGTTAGCTGTCATGGCTATTAGCCATCAATAGACCCCAATTCCCCTATAAATTTATCTAATCTAAGCTGAAATAGGCATCGCCACGTCTTGTGGCAACGAGTTCCATAAGTTAATGATATATCGTAGGAAGAAGTACAAATGAGCTAACAATTCCCCTAAGGAGCCGTGGCAGATTTCATTAACTCTTCTGCTGCATCTTGCTTGCATAGAAGTCTCTGCAGGTTTGACAGCAGCGCTGGTACCATCTCATGTCCTGACAAAGGTTTTTCTCCCGGATCACTCGACAATAAACGGCCCACTGGTCTCCCGTACACTTGTACGTCAGGGCGGCTTTTAAGAAAAGGCAGAGAGAAGATTGGAACAAGAAATTAGGCCGTTGTTTTACTTTAGGTAAAGGTAAAGGTTCCCCTCGCACATATGTGCTAGTCGTTCCCGGTCATGTGGCCGACATGACTCAATGCCAAAGGTGCATGGAATGCTGTTACCTTCTCACCAAAGGTGGTCCCTATTTTTCTACTTGCATTTTTTACGTGCTTTCGAACTGCTAGGTTGGCAGAAGCTGGGACAAGTAACGGGAGCTCACCCCGTTATGTGGTGCTAGGGATTTGAACCGCTGAACTGCCGACCTTTCGATCGACAAGCTCACCGTCTTAGCCCCTGAGCCACCGCATCCCATTGTTTTACTTTAGGAAGAGCATAATTCTAGAGAAACTGCATAGTGCTATCTATCTGTGTTCTGACCCAGCTCCCAAACACAACAAATCCTCTGTAGTTAAATCAATGATTCCTTTATTAGGAGTGCCAGCAGCCCCGGCAAAAAGTTTCTCTCTCAACATAGGCTAACAAGTATGTCCAGCAGGGAGATGGATAGATGTCTGCCACATCTCCGCCCCCTGCCTTTTATCCCCAGAGCTAGGGTAGGGCTTCACTAGCAGCGGTGGCTCTTCTTTCCCAAGGACCGGCCCATAGATTTCCACTGCTCTCCTCTCCTCTGCCTTCTGCGCATCCGCACATCAGGCACTGGACCCAGCTGTTCCTCCTCTTCCTCATCAGCCGCCTCCAGATCTGGGGGCTGTTGACTCACCATCTGAGGGCTGATGGATGGCCCAGGTTCCACCTCTGTCTCTATCTCTGACAGCTCAATACCCTCCTCCCCCTTGGAGCTCTCAGGTTGCCTTAATGCTGACCCTGACTCCCACACTACCTCATCAGATTCGGCTGCTGGAGGGTCACAACAATCTGTCTATCCTTCCTGCTATCATCTGCTCTCACCTGCCGGTCCGTCCTTCCTTCCTTCCTTCCTTCCTTCCTTCCTTCCTTCCTTCCTTCCTTCCTTCCTTCCTTCCTTCCTCTCTTTTTTATCTAACAGAATAACAGAATGATAGAATTGGAAGAGACCTTAGAGGTCTACTAGTCCAACCCCCTGCTCAGGTAGGAAGCCCTATACTATTTCAGACAAATGGTTGTCCAATCTCTTTTTAAAAATTTTCAGTGTTGGAGCATTCACAACTTCTGGAGGCAAGTTGTTCCACTGATTAATTGTTGTGTCAGGAATCTGTCTGTCCATCGATCCATCGATCCATCCATTTATTTTTTTAAAATTTGATTTATATGCCGCCCTTCTCCGGAGACTCAGGGCAGCTTACAGTGCGTTAAGCAATAGCCTTCATACTTTTGTATATTTATGCAAAGTCAGCTTATTGCCCCCACAAACTGGGTCCTCAATTTACCTATCTTAGAAAGGATGGAAGGCTGAGTCAACCTTGAGCCTGGCAAGATTCAATCTTACTTTAATTGCAAACAGCGGGTGTTAAATTATAGTGCTCTGTCTGTTGAGCTATCCAGGCTCCTATCCATCCATCCATCCATCCATCCATCCATCCATCCATCCATCCATCCATCCATCTCATTTCTATCTAGCCTGCAATGATCTGTTTCCTGATCTGGCCAATTCCAGTTGTCTTCTGAATCAGGATATGATTCTAGGAATTGGATTCTCAACAACTTCCAACTTCAAAAGTGTGCTGTGTATATTATTTTCAGTGCTTCCTTACGTTACATTTTTGGGTGGAAAACTTACCTTGGTGAGAAAAGAAAGGAAAAGCTCATTGTGCCAAGTCATAATAAATGTGAGACTCAATGGAGGGACACTGCATTTTTTTTTAAAACCCGGGCTTCTTAAGTTTGTTTTGAGAGAGGAAGATGACAATTAAAGAATTCAGAATTCAAAATCCAGGGGAAAGCATACTGACCGAGTCTTGGAGAGGTAATTGTGTTGACATTGATTTTCTCATTGCAGGCCTGTTGATGACACTGTCGGTAGGCTGCAAGTTTGGAGAAGGTGGGACACTCGTTGCCGTGGCGACCTGTGACTTTGTGCATGCACTGGACCACACGGGACTGAAGACCTTTGCCGCATGTTGAGGAACACTAGACAAGAGAGGAACCATCATGATTTATGTAATGCAGAGATATAACTGAGGCAGAGGCCCATTGGAAGAGGACATTCGATCAATTAGATTTATATCAGGGGTGAAATCCAGTAGGTTCTGTCAGGTTCTGGCGAACCAGTAGCAGAAATTTTGAGTAGTTCGGAGAACTGGCAAATACCACCTCTGGCTGGCCCCAGAGTGGGGAGGGAATGGGGATTTTGCAGTATCCTTCCCCTGGAGTGGGATGGGAATGGAGATTTTGCAGTATCCTTTCCCTGCCACGCCCACCAAGCCACACCCACCAAGCCACACCACACCCACCAAGCCATGCCCACAGAACCCGTAGTAAAAAAATTGGGATTTCATCACTGATTTATATAAATTGGGTGTGTCAAACTCAAGGTTCAGGGGCCGGATCCGGCCTATGGAGTGCTTAGATCTGGCGCGCAGGGCCACCCTGGAAACAGCAAAGGACCAACCTGCGGTGCGTCTGCCAGTGAAAATGGAGCTCAGGAAAGCCGCGTGCAGCCCTCCCGAGCTCCGTTTTCACTGGCAGAGGATTGCAGGAGGCCGTCACAGCCGAAAACGGAGCTCGGAAGCCCATTTTCGCTGGCAGAGTGCTCGGGCCACCACAGCCCCCCTCGACATATATGATGTTGAGCTGGCCACACCTACCCTGGCCACGCCCCCCCAGCCCCGCCAAGGTCAAACACAAACCTGATGCGGCCCTCAATGAAATCGAGTTTGACACCCTTTGATATAGATGGTCCTTCACTTACGACTGGTCACTTAGTGACTGCTTGAAATGACAACAGGCTAGTAGTAAGTCCTTGACTTACGACCACAACTGAGCCCAGTTGCTAAGTGAGATAGTTGTTAAGTGAGTTTTGCCCCATTTCACAACCTTTCTTGCCACGGTTGTTGAGTGAATCCCTGCGCTTGTTCCGTTAGTAACATGGTTGTTAAGGGAATCTGGCTTGTCGCAAAAGGTGGATTACATGACCCCGGGGACACTGCAACCGACATAAGTACGAGTCAGTTGCCAAGCATCTGAATGTTGATCATGTGACTGTGGGGATGCGGCAACAGTCATAGGTGTGAAAAATGGCCATAAGTCACTTTTCTCAGTGCCTTTGCAACTTCGAACGGTCACTAAATGAACTGTTGTAAGTCGAGGACTACCTGTACTTGCGGGAGGGGTACTTACGACCCAGATTCAAAGTTCTAATAGTTCCCCCCCCTCCCCCGGTCATATGGATGCTCAACAACCAGGCCACTTATCTGTCTGTTTGCAATGTCCTGACTCCATTGACAACTGTCTTGCTTAGCAACAGGTGTTTTGGGCTCAATTGTGGTCGTAAATCGAGGACTACCTGTATTTACCCATCTGGCGAGGTAGACAGGGGAAGCTGCAGAAGTGGCTTGGTTAACACTGTAAAGAATAGCAATAGCACTTAGACTTATATACCGCTTCACAGTGTTTTTACAGCCCTCTCTAAGCAGTTTACAGAGTCAGCCTCTTGCCCCCAACAATCTGGGTCCTTATTTTACCCCACCTCGGAAGGACGGAAGGCTGAGTCAACCTTGAACCCGGTGAGATTCGAATTGCCAAATTGCAGGCAGCCGGCAGTCGGCAGAAGTAGCCTGCAGTACTGCACTCTAACCACTGCGCCACCGTGGCTCAGAATCCATGGCTACTGAGTTAGCTTCTACCCTGCAAGGTTCTTCGGCCACGGCTGATAGTTCCCCTTGGATACAGAACCACCGAGCTGCAGCTTGCAAATCAGGAAGAAGGTGGCTTGGGATGCCTTCACCCCCCACTTCCCCCCCCGAAGATTTAGCTTCCTCGCCTCCCCATTGCAGAGACCACTGGAAGCCCTTGCCAGACAGCTCAGCCACAATTAGGGGGGCATTCGTCACTCCCCAGCGGCGATGAATGACTGCTGATCCCTTCTCAAGGGAGAAGACAAAAGCGGGGTTATTCTAAAAGGAAATGAGAATTTCCCCGGGTTTCACAGGTCCTGCTGGGAGGAATCAGCGGCTTGCCAGGATTCTCAGAGGCGGAAGACAAGACTGCAACTGGCAGCTCCTCTCGTCAGGGGAGGGCAGGTGGCTGGAGGCAATTTTTCAAAGGCGCTTTATCACCAGTGACAGGGCTTGGCAGCCTCCCCGCATTCTGAAGATGTCCTCCCTTTCGCTTTGCTTTGCTTTTTTCTCAGCCAAGCCCTTGCTGATGCTTCTGAATGGCGTTCCGGTTGGAACAGGAGTGCTCCCAGAGCTGGGTGGAAAGACTCCGCCGTCAGGTGCACAACGTGGAAAGAAAGCAGGAGTCATTTCCCAGCTGGGAAGCCTGGAACCTTAGGCTGGCGGCCAGATTCCCAGGCCTGCCCACCACCCAGGATGGGCTGGGGGCTGCCCGGGGAAAGGGGGCTCCTTGCCTACACGGGCTATGCCTTTGAAATGCGCTTATTGAATCTCCTGATTCAAATCCACGGAGGCTATTCAAGTCAAAACGGGGTCTGCTCTCTCTCCCCTACCCCGAGTCTTCTAGAAAATAAAAAGTTTTGCGGGGTGACGAGGGACCCTATTAAGCTGACCCTAACGTCAGTTCGTAAGTCTCGGTTTCCGTCTTTCTTCCCACGAACTGGCTAAGCAAGCAGGGGTCTTTCAACATTAGCTGAAGTTGGAATGATAGGGAAGTGGTCACTGATAGTTTCCCAAAGGAGGCAGTGAATGTGAAATACTCCCTAAAGGACTGATAGCAGAATATAAATGCCACTTAGTACGAATGCTTGAGAGCACAATTATTTTGTTGTCCAATAATTTTGGTCCTCCCTCCCTCCCTCCCTCCTTTCCTTTCCTTTCCTTTCTTCTCTCTTCCTTTCCTTTCCTTTCCTTTCCTTTCCTTTCCTTTCCTTTCCTCTTTCCTTTCTTCCTTCCTCACACTAATGCAGATATTTAATTTCCTTTCCTTCTTTCCTTTCCTTTCCTTTCCTTTCCTTTCCTTTCTTTTCCTTTCCTTTCCTTTCTTCTCTCTTCCTTTCCTTGTTTTTCTTCCTTTCCTTTCCTTTCCTTTCCTTTCCTTTCCCCTTTCCTTCCTTCCTTCCTCACACTAATGCAGATATTTCCTTTCCTTTCCTTTCTTTTCCTTTCCCCTTTCCTTTCTTCCTTCCTCACACTAATGCAGATATTTAATTTCCTTTCCTTCTTTCCTTTCCTTTCCTTTCCTTTCCTTTCCTTTCCTTTCCTTTCCTTTCCTTTCCTCCATCCTTCCTCCCCTCCCTCAATGATCAATTCTAATTCTTAGTGGGTTAAATAAAACTATTGTGGCTTTTATTCTATTTGGTTTGTATGCGCAAATATGTATTTTGTTATTGTTCTTTATTCTTATGCAAAACAAGTTGTAAATGAACAAATGTATTTCCATCCCTCACACTAATCCAGAAATTACAGACTAGAATTAGAATGAAATCATATTCAAAAAACATACTGATTGATATTACTCGCTTCAAATTATGTTTTGTTTTGTTTTTTAAATAGCAGGCTGCCTGACCTTGGACCATTCTCCGGTTTTCCATTCATAGCATCCCGTATGATCTTCGCACTCTTCTTCGTCCCTCGGCCTCGTTGCTGCATCACACTTTCCTTGTGGGTTGGTACACATGACTTTTCTCTTCTGTTTTCCCCTTCCACAATCAGAGGAACACTGCAAAAGAGAGCGTTGAAATTTGTTGAATTGGACTTGAAATATTTAGAAGCAGTTTCACATTCTTTCAAATGTCTCTTAAAATACCATTATCTTCATGGGTTTTTCACAGGAAAAAATATAGGTAAAGGTTCCCCTCACACATATGTGCTAGTCGGTCCTGACTCTAGGGGGCGATGCTCAACTCCGTTTCAAAGCCAAAGAGCCAGTGCTGTCTGAAGACGTCTCCGTGGTCATGTGGCCGGCATGACTCAACGCCAAAGGCGCACGGAACGCTGTTACTTTCCCACCAAAGGTGGTCCCTATTTTTCTACTTGCATTTTTTACGTGCTTTCGAACTGCTAGGTTGGCAGAAGCTGGGACAAGGAACGGGAGCTCACCCCATTACGCAGCACTAGGGATTCGAACCGCTGAACTGTCGACCTTTCGATTGACAAGCTCAGCGTCTTAGCCACTGAGCCACGCCAATGTTAATGTCAGATTGTACTATATTTAAATTAGATAAGCATAAAAAGATTACTGCCAATGCATTGTGTTTGGAGAGAGGTGAGAGTTCCCCAGTACCATTGTAGCAGTTATCTACTTAACACATCAGGACTGACCTTAAATCTGTCGCACACATATGTGTTCTTTGGAAGAAGAACTGAGATTATATATTTTATCTGATTAAGCGGAACTTTACGTTATTAATTTCAGTTCGGTCATAATTGATTATAAACTAAATTCTTTCAAACTTGGCGTGTTGCATAAACCAGACTGGATGTAAACAAATAGGGATCTGTGGCCATCAGGAATGTACTTTATTTAGCCTGTTCTGCATGATGGAAACATCCTTTTTTTTTTTTTAGTAATAATTTCACTAAACAGGATATAAAATACAAAAGAAATGAAAGTAGTGGGAAAAAAGGGGAAGAAAATGGGAGAGAAAAAAATGTTAACGTGAGAAAAGCAAAGCATTGATTTTCAATTCTTTTTAGCACAATAGAATAAGATAGTAACATTAGAGCCTCAACTTTTTTTTTTTTACTTTTACACACGACTGTAATACGTACTAGCCATTTCTTTAACAACAAAACTTATTAAAACAAAACCCCAAATCAACGTTTCCATTTCCCCCCCATCTCAAGCACAATATCCAGCAGCAATTTCCAAGCAGAAACAAAGCTGGATGTGTTCTTTTCTTTGATTAAAGCAGTTAATTTAGCCATCTCTGCTAATTCCATCACATTTTCCGGCCATTCATCCATTGCAGGAATTAAAAGTACCCGTATTTTTCAGAGTATAAAATGCTCCAAAGTATAAGACGCACCTTAGTTTTGGGGGAGGAAAATAAGAAAAAAAAAATTCTGTCTCTGTCTACCAGCATCCATCGGTATTCATCTGGCTAGTGTGTGAGAGAGTCGAGGGCTGTTTGGAAACTGAAACAGTATTTGCTGTGTGAGCAACAAGCAAGGAGTCTGGGCGTGACTTAGGTCAACTGTTCTAAAGCTGCATGCTGTGCTGATCTCTGAAACTGAAACTCCTCTCCTCTGCTTGTGTTTTGCTTGTATTTACTACCATTTTGAAAACCTGCTTTTGGAATTGTATATTTACTTCATGTGTTAGGTAAAGGTAAAGGTTTCCCTCACACATATGTGCTAGTCATTCCCAACTCTAGGGGTTGGTGCTCATCTCCGTTTCAAAGCCAAAGAGCCAGCACTGTCCGAAGATGTCTCCGTGGTCATGTGGCTGGCATGACTAAATGCCAAAGGTGCACGGAACACTGTTCCCTTCCCACCAAAGGTGGCGCCTATTTTTCTACTTGCATTTTTTACGTGCTTTCGAACTGCTAGGTTGGCAGAAACTGGGACAAGTAACGGGAGCTCACCCCGTTACGCGGCACTAGGGATTTGAACCGCTGAACTGCCGACCTTTTGATCGACAAGCTTAGCCACTGAGTCACCGCGTCCCTATACTTCATGTGTTATATTATATATAAAGAGAAGTTATTGAATCCTGCTGGATCAGTTACTTGTTTGTGCTTTCTGGATGCGATTGCTGCTGCAAACTCTGACAGTCCTTGCAGCAAATAGCAAACAGCTAACACCCCCTCCCCTTCTATGGGTCACCGATGAGCAGCCTGGATCCAGCACTGAATAAATAGATGGAGATAGGGAGATCTCTGTGAGCATTTTCTGGACATGCTCCAAATAAAGCATCTCCATTTAGAGGGGTCCAGGTTAAAAGCAAGCCCTAGCATGAGGCTCATCGCAGCGAAGGGCCGATCTCAACATGCGTATCTCACCATCTTTCTTAGAAAAGAAAATGTGTTTTTTTTTTTTTAAAAAAAAAAGCCATAATCCAGGCAGACGTGACTGCCGACCCTGCGGATCAGGACATGAATGACAAGTGTTTTATGAGCCAGCTAGCAAGAAAACATGCTCTGGAACACTACCGAGCAACTGGAAAATGGCTTTAACATTCTCTCCCCTCTCTTATCCCTCCCTCCCTCCATCCATGGGAAGCCTGGTATCTAATTTCATGACCTCCTGGTGAAAATTAATATATCTTTGTGTAGTGCAAAAGCATAAATGTAAATTTTGGCTGGAAGGCTTCTTTAAGTTATTTGTTTTTAATTAGTGTCCTCCTCTCGAATTCCACAACCGCCCCCAGTGGGAAACCCCGGCATTTTAATGGACATATTCAACTTTTAAGTTGTATTTGTTCCAAAGGTTTTTTTTTTTTCCCCCAAAAGGCAACTGGAGTCTCTTGGGGTGTTTTTTTTCTTCTTCTTTGAAAACGTTGCGCTTCTCATCCAAGAAGCTTCTTCCGTTCTTAAAAGTTTTGGAACCCTTTAAAAGTTTTTAGAACTGAAGACGCTTCTTGGATGAGAAGCAAAATATTTCCCAAGAAAAATCCAAGAAACCAGTGGTGAAATCTGAACTGGTTTGCTATCGGTTCACTGGCTGTGCATGCACGCTGCACGCCAAGCACATGCTGTCTGCATGCATGCGCAATACACACCAAGAGGAGGCTTGGGAAGGTAAGTAGAACAGTGGGGAGGGGAATCAGCTGTGGAGTGCAATCATTGGAACAATTTTTTTTACTTTTTTAAAGCATTTTTTTACTACCGGTTCAGGCGAATAGGTAGTAAAAGAATGCTTTAAAAAAGTAAAAAAAAAAAAAAAAAGGTTCTGACAATTAGCTGAGCTGAGCGACGCACGATCAATCATCGGAACTTTTTTTAAAAAAAACTTTTTAAAGCATTTTTTTTTTAAAATGCTTAAAAAGTGAAAATAATCGTTCCGATGATTGCACGTCCCTCATCTGATCGTTGGAACTTTTTTTTTACATTTTTTTTTACTACCGGTTCGGCGAACCAGTAGCATTTTTCACTACCAGTTCGGGTGAACCGGCCCGAACCGGTAGCATTTCACCCCTGCAAGAAACCCCAAATGCTTTTTGGAAAAAGCACCATATTATTGTTGTTGTTGTTGTGATCCTGCCCTTTGTGTAATCTCAACACATTAACTTTAGCAAATATTTAGCTACATACATATCCCAATGATCTGCCCTTCCTTCTACCAGACTGGAAATACCTTAGACCATTCTGAAGCTTCCCAAATAGAAAGACAGTCTCGGCCTTCGCAGCTCTGTATCGTTGCTGGCTTGGGACCAAGGCAGTAGAGATCTCTCGTGTTGACATAGCTCCCGTTCTGCAGTTGATAGACACATGTCACTCCCCGATGCTGCAGACCTTTGGCACAACTCGAAGAGCAAGGACTCCACTGTCCCGTAACCCACCTGTTTGGACAATCAAGACAAGGACACCAGGACAGTCAGAATCCTTGTAAGGAAGAGATGCTAGATAACTCATGACCCATTGGGCCATTGTTTCAGAGCTATTTCCTTATCTGTTTCCTCAACATCTTCAACAACGGCAGAGCTCCTAATGTATTGGAAAAGTTCTTAATAATTAGATTAGATTAACAGAGTTGGAAGGGACCTTGTAAGTCATCTAGTCCAGCCTCCCGCCCAAGCAGGTGACGCTACACCAGGGATGGCTAACTTTTTTGCCGCCACGTGCCAAAAGCGGGGGGGGAGTGAGGGAGGGTCACGCACATGTGTGCCCACACCATAATTCAATGCACCCCGCCCCCCGTGCATACGCACATGACCCCCCCTGCTCTTCCCCTGCTTTTGGCACGCGATGGCCCGGTAGGCCCATTTTTCGCCCTTCCCAGGCTCCCCAGGCTTTCTAGAAACCTGGGGAGGGCGAAAACAGCCTTCTCCTTATTTATTTATTTATTTATTTTGTCGCATTTCTATGCCACTCAACTCCCAAGGGACTCTCCTCCCCCCTCCCCCCAGAGGCCGGAAATGGCCCGTTTCCCGACTTCCAGTGGGACCGGAAGGACCGTTCCTTTCTAGGAACCTGGGGAGGGTGAAAACGGCCTTCCCCATCCCCCCAGAGGCCCTCCAGAGGCCGGAAACAGCCCATTTCCTGACTTCCGGTGGGCCCAGAAGGCCCGAAAATCAGCTGGCCGGCATGTACATGGGTGCTGGAGCTGAGCTAAGGCTCACATGCCCACAGATATGGCTCTGTGTGCTACCTGGTGGCACTCGTGCCATAGGTTCACCATCACGACCCTACACCATTTCTGACACATGGCAGTCCAATCTCTTCTTGAAAGCCTCCAGTGATGAAGTTCCCACAACTTTTGAAGGCAACTTCTGTTCCATGGGTTGATTGTTCTCACTGTCAGAAAATTTCTCCTTATTTCCAGGTTGAATCTCTCCTTGGTCAGTTTCCATCCATTATTCCTTGTCTGGCCTTCAGGTGCTTTGGAGAATAGCTTGATCCTCTCCTCAAATATTGGAAGACTGCTACTGTCATGTCTCCCCTGGTCCTTCTCTTCACTAGACTAGCCATGCCCAGTTCCTGCAACCCTTCATCATATGTTTTAGCCTCCAGTCCCTTAATATCTTGGTTGCCGTTCTCTGCACACTTTCTAGAATCACAACATCTTTTTTATAGTGTGTGGTGATTCAAGCTGTCCTGAACCAATAAATATCAGGACTTGACCATCGGAAACATTTTGTGACACGTTGGATGACGGAAAAAACGTTTGATTAAATATGCCAGATTCCATGGGAGTCGTGGGTTCAGGATTTTGGATACAATTTAGCCTACGTGAAGCACCTTGGTTCAAAAATGACGAACTCTTTCCAAATGAAGTTTACAGACAAAGAAACACGAGAGCTTCAACAGCATTCACTTTGTGCTTTATCGCAGGGCAGATGTGATGCTCGGTCTTACTCAACTCTATGCAATTAGACTATCTCAAAATCTGCCCGTATCCAATTTTGGAGGCTCGGTGTTTGAAAGCAGAATTAGGCCCCATCAGTTGGGAACCTGCAGGGCTTGGGGGACATGCCTCGATCTCATGTTGCATCCGTTGACAACTCCTGAAACCAAGCACATCTTTTCCCAGGGCTGTGTGGCAGCTGCGAAGGGCAGCTGTGTGATCCTGGGAACAAAATACAGCTGGGCGAACACATTATTGACTGGTGCTACCTGAGTGTCTCCCACCCCAGGTGCCTTTTGAGTCTGAAGTACTGCACAGCTCTATTATATACAAATATAAGCAAATTTAATTCTAAAATTTCCAAATGTAATCCTCGTGTGACATTCTCAGATGCCCCTGAAAATATCTGGTTGCTCCTCGGATGATTTAAATGGGATCTATGCAGTAGTGAAATCCAATTTTTTTTTTTACTACCGGTTCTGTAGGCATGGCTTGGTGGGTGTTGCTTGGTGGTGAGCGTAGCAGGGGAAGGATACTGCAAAATCCCCATTCCCTCCCCACTCCTGGGGGAAGGATATTGCAAAATCTCCATTCCCACCATTCCTGGGGGAAGGATATTGTAAAATCTCCATTTCTTCCCCACTCCTGGGGGAAGGATATTGCAAAATCTCCATTCCCACCCCACTCCTGGGGGAAGGATTTTGCAAAATCCCCATTCCCTCCCCACTCCTGGGAGAAGGATACTGCAAAATCCCCATTCCCTCCCCACTCCTGGGGGAAGGATATTGCAAAATCTCCATTCCCACCCCACTCTGGGGCAGCCAGAGGTGGTATTTGCTGGTTCTCTGAACTACTCAAAATTTCTGCTGCCAGTTCTCCAAACTGCTCAAAATTTCCATTACCAGTTCTCCAGAACCTGTCAGAATCTGCTGGATTTCACCCCTGGATCTATGGTTCTAGACTAGGGTTCCCCAAAGTGGACCAAGTCAACCCCCAAAGATTTATAGGAGTCTCCAAGGGGACAGTAAATGTCCAGGGGTCAAGATGTGGCCAATAAATGATAAAAAGTTGATTGGGATAATTTTGGGGATCTTTGTAGAGCTCCATAGTTTGAGGAGCTAACAGTGAGACTCTTACCCAGGGTCTGATGTCAGCCATCAGTGAGAGTGCCTTGAATTATCTATTATTACTGTTATTGTTCATAGTACTATTAGTTAGAATAGTGTTTACGAAATCATTTTTATACAATACTGTATGTACAATACTGTACATACAATACAATACCTGGGGGATGATTAATAATCTGAAACTTTATTAAGGGATCAATGAGTTGAACAGGGACAATCCCTGTTCTTGACTATGTTTAGAGTCTAGAACAAGGACCAATAAGCTTTGGTGGCGCAGTGGTTAGAATGCAGTACTGCAGGCTACTTCTGCTGACTGCCGGCTGCCAGCAGTTCAGCTGTGAAGTTTCCGAAAGATGCCCTAATTAATTCATGAGCCATTAACCGAACTTCAAAAGAAATACAGTCATTTATTAGGAGCACCATTTCGGCAATATTCGGATGCAGTTAGAACTAATCCCACGTAGATTTACGTTCCCCTATGACCCTATCTCTCCCCTCCTCTCTGGCCATGTCATAAATCACATTCTCCAATTAACCACTTTGGCTGGCTGTGAAATCCAACACCCTCCTTCTGATTGCGGTCAGGAAGAATGTATGGAATGCACTTCAGTTAGGGAAATCAATCAGCTCTATCAGTTCTCCCTCCCTCCTGCTCATGGCAACTTGAAAGCTTTGCAAGTTGACATCAGCAGTTCGATCCTGACCGGCTCAAGGTTGACTCAGCCTTCCATCCTTCCAGTAAAATGAGGACTCAGATTGTTGGGGGCAAGATGCTGACTCTGTAAACCGCTTAGAGGGGGCTATAAGGTACTGTGAAGCGGTACATAAATCTAAGTGCTATTGCTGTTGCAATTCACGGGTAGGATTCAGCCGGTTTGGACCGGTTTGGGAGAACCAGATATTAATTTTAATCTGGTTCGCCAAACTGGTTGTTCCAAGGACTGGCTGATCCTGCCCACCGTGCCCCCCCCCCCCTCAGGAGTATTCACATGGCCTGTTTTAGATGCCAGGTAAGCGCAGGGCGTGTACAGATGCTCTTGGAGGGCAAAAAATGGGCCTACCGGAAGTACTGTAAGTCCAGAAATAGGCCCATTTCCGGCATCCGGAGGGCCGTTGTAGGCCATTTCCGCCCCCCTGGAGGCTTGAGGAAAGCCTCTGGAGCCTGGGGAGGGCGAAGATGCCCCCTGCCATGGTGCTGAGTAGGCCACGCCATGACCACACCCACCCAGCAACCGGGCAGCAAACCGGTTGCTGAATTTTTTTCAATCCCACCCCTGTTGCTATTGCTCTCCAACTTTTCATCAATCTGCTCTTCCAGGTTTCCCAGACACTATTCACTACTCTCTTAGTAAATCTAAGCTGTAAAGCTGGAGCATCTCAAAGCAAGCCTTAACTGAAGGTTATGATGAAAAGGAATGCATCTGATAAATGCGGTTATGGCATCCATTAAGCACTTAGGGCAATCTGTTCTGAAGGCAGCTTTCCCCTCTAATTTGAAAAACTCCCATGTCAAAAGAAAGCAGTTAAGAGCCCTAGATGTGCGGGAGCATGAAATAAAGCATGAAAAAAAAAAAAAACCATCCCCTTTTCGGGAAGTTAAAATTCTAGTCTGGCTTCTTTTGAGCCTGTCAACTTGATTAGCAATCTCACCGCCACCTCCATCGCAAAGCAAACTCATCTTTGTCTTTGGCCTGCTTCTAAAACACCCAGCAGGCACAGGAATTAAGATACAAGGAACGGTATGAATGGTCAAAGACCACAGCGAGCCAGCCATCTTAATTAAAAGAAAATTAAACCCAGGAGCAAAAATTAGGGCTTTGGTTAACCATTATTGGCTGAAAACTCAAATCTGATGGGTGGCGGTGTAGCACGATGGGTGGGATAGGGGGGAGAAAACGGCCCTGCTAATTTATTGTCACGCCTCAAGAACAAGAAGGTTGCTATGCAGAATTGGCCCAGCTGTGGGATTGTAGCTGAATGTGATCTATAGCTGCGCAGAGAGAGAGAGAGAGAGAAGGAAAAAAACAGTTTGTGACTTTGATGGAAGGGAAAAGAAAGGCAGCAGATAAAAAAAAAAAAAGGCAGGCTCCCACAGTTGTTGTTGTTGTTTTTTTTCCAGTTCAGTGTTGTGTAAGAAAAGACGGGAAAATGGGCTCAAGAAGGGCCAGGAATTCTGAAGATGGGTGGGGGGGAAATGCAGGGTTTGGGATCTGCTCCTTTCAAGAACTCATTGCAAAGCTGCTAAAGGAACAGGGTCCCCCCCCCCAAACTCAGAATTATAGAATAACAGAGTTGGAAGGCATCTTTGAGATCTAGTCCCGTGATGCGTGCCACAGGTGGCACGCGGAGCCGTATCTGTGGGCATAGA